CAACCATCAGAACCATGCCAGGATGCCTCGTTTTTGCAACCCTAACCCTACCCTGGTGCACACCCCTAACCCTAATACAGGGCTAAAGTTCCACTGAAAAGCGGGCGATTTTGCAAAAGTCCCTCTCGAGCGGCTTTTTCTGCACAGCTCAGCATTCCCTTGCAGCACCCCATCCCTGAGGGGCAGAGACCTGCAGGGAAGCCTAGGGAAGGGCAGGAGAGGCGTCCTGGCTGCCCAGCCCGTCGCAAAGGGGGGGGGGCTGGCCAGGTGGGGGGGCGGTGTGGGCTTCCCATGGACCTGTGGAACTGCAGCGGCAGGGCCGGCCGGGCGACGGGGCTGCTCCAAAAGAGGCGCTACAAATATTACAGAGTGTGAGTGCGTCAGTGGCTCGGGCGAGTGGCTTTTGTGGGCCGTGGGGAAAGGCTGAGCAGGAGCCCGGTGTGCTGGGGTGTCCGCCCCCGCAAGCGGCTGTGCTGCAACGGGGGAGCAAGCGAGAGGACGATGCCTCTCTAACTAGCCCCGGCGGCAGAGCTGGGCGCTTCCTGTTGGGGCCAAATCCATCCACACCCCCGCCTGGCGCTGCTCCGTTTCGGCGGTGCACGCCAGATTCCCCCACGGGCAAATTCCTTCCGCGAGGCAACCCAGGACCAGAATGCGCACTCGCCATCCTCGTGCTGCCGTGCGGGATTAGGTGTACGTCTTTGTGCACACGCAACAAACGACTTCCCTCGTGACCACAAAGGTTAGCATGAGTCTGGCCTAAGCGGGGGGAAAGCGTAGGCTGGACGCTCCGGTGATCGGAGGAGGAGAAGGGGGGACGCGGATTCCAAGACTGGTCGGAACGGGGGGGAAGAGAAGTGAGGAAGCAGCTTCTGTAATATTTGTCTCTTTTGGAACAAGGCATCACGCTATCCAAGCCTTCACAGTTTGCGGGATCTCGCACGGGTTTGCCTGGGAGAAAGAGGGAGCCGGGGGCGTCTTGGCAAACAGGCAGGCCGCTACGGGGGAGGCGTGGTACCTGCTCAGTCACTGCGAAGGCTCTGGGTTCCCTCTGAAAGAAGAAGCATCCCACGCGGTTAAGGCCAGGTGGGCTCGCTCCGCCGGCCTCAGGCGCACGATGATGCCCAACTGCGGACCTCCACCGCCCCCCCTCCCGCTGCGCCCCAGAAGATGCGCGGGCAGCCAAAGGCCAGGCGTGCAGGAATATCTCTGGCCGCATGGGGATCACGGGCGCCGTCCAGCCACCTCTGGAGGACGCCACGCGGAGGAGGGCAGGGTCCGTCTGGCGAGCGAGGGCTCTCCCCGGGGCCGAGCCCTTCCCGGCTCCCCCGTTGCAGCAGTGCAGGCCGGGGAGCAGAGCGTGCGTGCAGAGGCACTGCAGGCAGCCGCGCTCTGCCTGAATTCAGGGAGGGGCAGGGGGTGGCCAGGGCCGCTGCAAAGATACCCGGGGGCCGGCTGTGCCGCGTGCGCGTCCGTTTCCCGAGGCTCTGTGCGAGAGTCTCTGCTGTGCTCCGGTGTCTTTCCCAGCCCAGGTCGAGCAAGTTTGGCCCAAAGTCCACCCGCAGGCTCTTACTGGGATTTTGCGCCCCTGCACAGGGCGCCGAACCCACAGACCGCCGTCCTGGCCGAGCTGCGGGGGCACGAGAGGCACGGCCAGCGCACCGTGCGCGTCACCTGGGCCCCCGGAGGTGCAACTGTGAGTGCCGGGACGCACCAAGCACCTGCAGCCAGGCGCGAGCTGGGGTCACAGGATCCCGGCTGAGGGGTGTGCAGGCATCCTGGCCTGGGGGGTGGCAGGGGTCGCTGGGAGTTCGGCATCCTTGCCACCTCCTGGCAAGTGCCCCGGGCCGAGATCGGCGCTCTGCAGCCTCTGGGAGCCGGAACCACGTCGAGTGGGGGACCATCGTGGGCAGAGCGGCGGCCGCCACCCCCCACCTCAAGCACCAGCAGCTTTAAGGCTGCACATGAATGTTATAAAAGGAAACGGGAGCTGAAGGCCTGTCAAGAGTGGACTGGAGAGATCCAGAGGTGGCTTCAGGGGCCGCTCAGCACCTCCTCCCACATCTGTGCGCCCAGCTCAGCCTGCCTCCTCCTCCTCCTCCTCCACTTTGAGGTTGCAGGCAAGTCAGCCCTCACGACTTCAGACGCCCACCCTTCCCTGCTCTCGCCGCTTGACCCTCGGCCGGGTTCAGGCCCTGGAGAGCCCCGGGGCTGCTCACTGGTTCATGTTGTGCTGCTGGTCTGCAGCTCCCGCAACGGTTCCCACTCGCTGCTGTCCCGATTTTGTTTCGGCCACCGAGAGCCGACGAAGCCCAGGCACGCCGAGAGGAGCTCAGGGTGTTGGCGAGCGGGCGCTGCACAACCTCCTGGGGCTGAGCTGGGGCCGCCATGGGTGGCGGGCCTGCCCCCTCCGGCCCCTCCCCGGGGCTGGACCCCGCCTGCCCCCACGGTGCCCCCCGGCAGCCTGAGAGCACACCCTGGCCAGCCTGCCCCCCTGCTCACTGAGGGGCGGCCCGCGACCCGTGTGGGCGGCCGTCCAGCCGCCTTCCCGCGTGGCTACGGAGGCGGGCGGCCCGCGGCGGAAAGCACCTGAGCTTGCTCTTCAGGGCAGCCACCTCGCGGCCCATGGCCTCGCTGCTCTCCGTGGCCTCATCCAGCTCCCGCTGCAGCTTCCTGCGGCTGGCGTTCATGCGCTGCGACTCCTCCTCGGCCTCCTCCAGCTGCCTCTTCAGCTGCTTGACGCGGCTGCTGGCCTTGTCCGCCTGCAGGAAGACCGCAGGGTGCTCGTGGGGGGGCGGTCCGTGGGAGGGCTCCCCACGGAGACAGCGAAGTGCTGGAATCGGGGCGGGAGCGCAACTCGGCTCGACCCCCATGCTTCCCCGAAGCGCGCGAGGATAACACGGGGCCAAGGCGGAGAGCCGTGCGCTGGAGAGGAGCTGCACAGAGCCGGGCAAGGTGGGCGTCGTGCCTCCCCGGCAGGGAGGGCAGGCCCATGTCCCGAGAGAGCCAGGCTGCCCTGCCACCGGCAGCGTGGCCCCCGTTCCAGGGAAGGCTGTTGGCGCGAGCGACCCAGGCTCCCCTCCGGAGGAAGAAGGCGCTGGTGGCCCCTGGGCTGCGTTGCCGGGGGACTCCTCGAGGTAGGCACGGTCCGCGCGCCCCCGCCCGGGGCAAAGCAGGCCCCCACCTGGTCCTTGTACTGCTCCGCCTGCTTCCGCTCGTCCTCGACCTGCAGCAGGACCTCTTTGAGCTTCTTGTCCTTCTGGCGCAAAGCTTTTGCCGCCGTTTGCTTTTCTCTGCGGGAGAGCAAACGGGCTGAAGCCGCTCGCCCAGCTGTGAGCAGGCGGCATGGAGGCGGCCAGCCACCCCGGAGGGGCTGGGCCACCCTGCCTGGGCCAGGGTGCCCGGGGCCCCCTCCACCGGGCTCTCCTGCGCGGCCGACGGCACGGGTACCTGGCTTCCTGCTCCAGCTGCTCCTCCAGCTGCGCGACCTTGGCCTCCAGCGAGGCCACGGTGGCCTTCAGCTTGGACTTGATGGCGCTCTCCATCTCCTGCAGCTTCGCCCGCAGCTCCTTGTTCTGCCTCTCCAGCTGCTGGCGGGCGCTCTCGTTCTTCTGGGCGGCCGCCCGCTCCGAGGCCAGCTCGTTGTTCAGCTGCTCCGACTGAAACCCACAGGGGAACCGTCGCAAGAGCCCCAGGGCGGGAGGGGAGAGGAAGCCGTTCCGGCCCCGAGGTCAGTTCTGACCCCTCCGCACCCAGCTTCCTTCCTTCCTTCCTTCCTTCCTTCCTTCCTTCCTTCCTTCCTTCCTTCCCTGTTACAAGGGTCTCCCGTCGCCCCCTCCCACCTCGCCCTCCAGCTCCCCGAGGCAGCTGAAGCGAAGGGCAGTTTGTGCATTCACATCTGCCACTTGGCCAGTTACGCTAGTGCGGTTTTTGAAAGAGAAAAGGAAGGGAAGAAGAAGAAAGGGGGAAAGGGGCAAGCGAGGGTGGCACTGGAAAGGAGAAGCCCGGGCATAGTGTGGGCCGGGCAGGCCAGCAGGTGGCGTGAGAAGCAGGACCGTGACCCCCAGCTGTTCCTCGGCCCACTGGGCATTTTCAAAATCCCTGCCACGCAGGTTGCGATTTCCCTTCCCTCCCTCTTTTCGCGAGCCACGAGCGCCAAGGAGGCTTCCCCGCCGGCCCATGCGGGGACACGGTGGCGTCCCACCTCTGCGTCGGGCTGCGTAGCGAGCTGGGGGAAGCCACCACGGGGACGGGTCCCAGGCGCACCTGCTGCACGGCCTTCCGGAAGCGGTCGCTCATGGCCTCCAGGTTGCTCTGCTCCTCCTCTAGCTCCTCCTCCATCTGGGAGATCCGCGCCTCCAAGCGCCGCTTCTCGTCCTGAAGGCTCGTCCTGGAAGCAGCGGGGTGGGCTGGAGCCCCGGGGTCACCGGTGCCCGCGCACCCCCGGGAAACGCCGCGGGTTCCTTCCCCAGCTTCCCCTGCGCCCTCACTGTGGCCGCAGGGCTGCCTTTGAACCCCCACACGCCTCCCCCAGCCCAGAGGAAGCGCCTGCCGTGTCGCTGGCTCGAAAGACCAAGCCCGGCCGGCTGTCGGGCCCTCACCTGCCGGCAGCAGAGCTCGCCAGCTCCTCCGCCAGGTCCTCCTTCTCCTGCTCCGCCTGCTTTCGAGCCCGTTCGGCTGCCGCCAGGTCCTGCGAGGGAGCCGAGCAAGCCTTTCAGGCCCCAGGCCGGTGCCGCGGGAGAGAGAGAGCGGCCGCCACGCCGCCTGCGCGTGGTCTCGGCAGCTCCCCTTCAGGGACGCGCTGCCTGCGCCTGGCCCGTTCCCCGTCCGCGCATGGGAGTCGCCCACAGGGGTTCGCGCTGCCGACACGGTGCCCCCGTCGTGACGTCCCCCTGGCCTGTCCTTCAAGAGGGTGGAGGGCTGCCCCCATCCACGCAGGCCAGGCCAGGGCAGGGCAGGGCAGGAGAGGCTGGGAGGGCGCGGGGGGCCCCTCGGCTGCCTGGCCCGTTTTCACACGCAGCCACATGGCTCGCCGCCTTCGGAGCCACAAAGGAATTTCCACTGGGCCACGGGTGGAATGAGGACTCCCGATGGAACGGGCGGGGGTGGTGGCCTCCAGAGCCTCCGGAGGTCCCCCGCTGGCCACCACGGGGCGGGGCTGGTAGCCTAGCAGTGCCGGACAGCCAGCGGTTCCCGCCACAGGGCAAGGGAAGGAGGACGCTGGGGCCGTGCGTAGAGTCCCGCGGGCTCCGGGCTGCGCCACTGTTCCTGGGGCCTCCGGGTTTCCCGCAGCTTTACCTCCTGCAGCTGCATCAGCTCTGCCTCCAGGTTCTTGGCCTTCTTCTCGTTTTCTCGAGCCGTGGCAAAGACCTCTTCCCGCGCTGCCCGAGCATCGTCCAGTTCGCGCTGGAAGTCCTTCATCTGGGCCTGCGGGTTCAGGCAGTTAGGAGGACACAAGCCTGGGCCAGGATCTCACCAGCCTCTGGACCCACACGGACGGAGCGCTCGGCTTACTAACAGCTGCGTCATCCCAAAGGGGGGATTTCTGGGAGAGGGCGAGTCCGAACCACTCAGGGGCATGGTAGGCGCCTGCAGGCAGGGTGCCGGGCCGCAGGGAGACCAGCTTCCATCATGTGAGAACTCAGGGCCAGCCCAGGAACCGAACGGCAGGGGATGGGAGGGGAGGGGAGGGGAGGGGAGGGGAGGGGCAGCTCCATGGAAGAGCCCCCGCTTTGCCTGCCGAAGGTCTCAGCTCCACGGGCAAGCAGAGCCGCAGGAGTGGCCGCTGGCACAATGCCAGGCACACGGGTTCTTCCATGGAGCGGCAGCAGTCCACGAGCCCCCCTGCCGCCCTCCGGCGGGAGACCACAGCTGTTCTGGGGCTCGTGCGCCCCTCTGAAGCCCCGGGGCGGTGTGGGGCAGAGGGCCACGGGAGCCGCGAACGGCCCCGGGCCAGGGGCCGCGTGCCACCCACCTGTAGCTTCCGCAGCTGCTTGACGGCCTCCTCCCGGCCTTTGTTGGAGGAGTCCACCTGCCCCTCCAGGTCCTTGAGGTCCACCTCCAGCTTCTTCTTGGCGGCGGATGCGAGGCCCCGCTGCTTGCGCTCGTCCTCCAGCTCCACTTCCAGCTCGTGCAGCTGGCGAGGGGAAGGCAGCGGTCAGGGGCGGCCCCGGGGCACAGCGGCACGCACAGCCGGCGCCGCTTCCTTGCTCGGCGGCTGGAGGCCCAGGCGCCCCTGGCCACCTGGACCACCGCCGCCGCAGGCACGTTTGGGAGCTCCCGCGCAAGCGCCGCGGGGACGGGGCCCCTTGGGGCCGTGGCGAACACGCCGTACCTGCTTCTGCAGCTGGCGCCTCTTCTCCTCGTTCTGCTCGTCTCTGGCTTGCAGGTCCCTCTCGAACTGGCCCTTCAGGGCCTGCGTGTTCACCTCCAGCCGCAGCTTGGCGTCCTCGGCTGCCTGCAGCTCGTCCTCCAGCTCCTCCAGCTGCGTCTTCATCTCCTCCACCTGCTGCTCCAATGCCCGCTTGGACTTCTCCAGGTCGTGGACCTTCCCAGAAAGGAGGGACAGGGGGACGGCGTGACGGGAGGGGCAGGGGACCAAGGGCCCGGAGCACCCTAAAGCCGAGGCTCTTCCGCAACAACCCAGAGCGCCCCCTTTCAGCGGAAAACCTCCAAAGGGGGAGAAAGCGTGGGGGGGGTGGGGGGTGACGGTGTAGCTGCAGCTTCTCCGTCAAGTCAGGTAACTTCACAAGGACTGGGAGAGGCCGGGAGACCTACGTTCTTGCCGACGTCGTCCTTGGAGCTCACGAGGTCTTCCATCTCCGCCTTCAGCAGCTTGTTGGCCCGCTCGAGCTCCTCCTTGGCTTCCAGCGCTTCTTCCAAGGCACGGGCCAGCGAAAGCGCCTTCGTCTCCTTCTCGCGGGCCTCCGCCTCTGCGCGGTCCCTTTCGTCGGCGTATTTGGAGGAGATGTTCTTCTCCTCCGCTAGCATCTGCGAAGAACAGTAGCCACCATACAAATCGTCATAAATAAAAGGAATGCATTTTCCGTCTTCAAAAGATTCAGCCTAGGAAGGATTTTCAAAGACCCAGTGGGAAAGTTCTGCTCCAAAAAGGGGGTGTGCGACATTTTCCAGCAATTTGTTCGCCTCTGTTGTTTTACTGGACTGTGTTTGAGCTTTTGGGGAACTCTGAGGACCTTTATACATGGCTGAAAACATTTGTTAGCACCTTATCGATCAGCCACCTCAAAGGCGTAGTTTTGCCATTTTCCCGTTCAGCATCTCCCGCAGCAGATTCTGGACGGACGAGATGTCCAGGTCTCAACAGTTGGGATTAAATCTCGCCATCAAAATTCAGAAAGGGGATTCGGGATTGCGATCCGAACCTCTCTGCGGTTGGCGCACCGGACTCCCAGCCCCACCCACGCTGCCGGGGGCCCTGGGCTGACGGGCATCTCGGCCAGTCCGGCCCGCGGAGGGAAGGCTTGCCTGGTCGAACTTCTTCTGCTTCTTCTCCAGGTTGGAAACCAGCTGGCGCTGGTTGTCCAGGTCCACCACCAGGTCGTCCAGCTCCTGCTGCAGCCGGTTCTTGGTTTTCTCCAGCTTGTCGTACGAAGCGGCCTTCTCCTCGAACTGCTGCGTGAGGCCCTCGATTTCCTTCTGGAGCCTCTTCTTGCCTTCCTCCATGTTTTCGATGGTGCCGACGTACTCCTGGAGCTTCCGCTTGGAGTCGGAGAGCTAAGGTTGGATTCAGAGAAGCGTGAACCGACGGGGCACCCAACGTCCGCCCGAGAGACGCGAGCGCAGGGCCTCAGCGGGGGCGGACTGGCTGAGCGTGCCCCGTGCGAGAGCGCAGGCGAGGTGCGCGCGATCCACCCTTCCCCGGGACCGATTCCCACGACACCCAGCGGGATGAGCCCCCCCACCGCCGCAGGGCTGCCCGGGGCCCCGCCACCCGTCGGCGTGGCCACGCGACCTGCACGTTCAGCGTCGAGATGTGCCGCTCCAGGTTCTGCTTGGCCTCGGCCTCCTCCTCCAGCTGGTCCTGCAGGCTGTTCCGCTCGTCCTCCATCTGGCGCAGCTTCGTGGATAGGTTGAGCTTCTGCCGCGTTTCCTCCTGCAGCAGCTCCTAGCGGCAGGCGGGCAGGCGGTCAGAGGGAGGCCTGCCCGGGCCGAGCCCCCTGCGCGCCCGTGGACCGCCGCCTACCTGCGTGTCCTGCAGCTGCGAGCCCAGCGTGGCCACGTCCTTCGTGAGCTTGATGCCCTTGGTCTCCGCCTCGCTCAGCAGCCCCGCCATGTTCTCCGCCTCGGCCTGGAAGGGTTGGGCAGGGGCAGCACACAAGCCGCGTGTGGGTCAGGTGGGCCGGCAAGGGACTGGGCCTCCGGCAGCCGCAGAGGGGGCTCCGCAAGGGGCCTGGCAGTGGCGGGGGTCAGCGGTGCTCGGGCACTAACCGTGGAGGCGCCTCTGCCGGGCTGCCCTGCAGGGCAGGCACAGAGGTTCGCCCGAGGCACCGGGCCTGCCGTGCCGCTACGGAGCGGTGGCTCCCAGCAGCGCGGAACGAGAAGCCACGAAGGGTCCTTTGCTGCGTGAGGCTCCCTTGCGAGCAAGCAGCACGGCAGGCCCTTGGCTATGGGAAAGGGCGCTGCCGGGTGGCCTTGCCCTGCAGGCGGCGCTGCCCGGAGCGCCCGGCCCTCCTGCGGCCGACTGAGGAAAAGCCCGGCCCGGGCACCGGCCCGCGGCCCCCACCGAGATGGCCGGATGGCCGAGGCACGCCAGAGGAGACGGGAGCCGTGCGGGAAGGGGGCCCCCCGCGCGTCACCTGCAGCTTGTGGACTTTCTCGCCGAGCTCCGTCCGGACGCGCTCCCCGTCGGCAAAGCGCGACTGCAGCTCCTGCAGCTGCGCCTCCAGCTTCTTCTTCTTGTACTCCACCTCCTGCTTGGCCTGGCCGAGCGCCCGGACCTCACTGCTCAGGTCCGCGTTGTCCTTCTCCAGGGTCTGCTTGGCCTTGTCCAGGTTGCCTTTGGCCTGGGAGGGCAGGGGGCGGTCGGTGAGGCCCCGGCCCGGCCCGGCCCACGGAGGAGCCCTAGCCCAGGCCCGCTCAGCCGACCCAGGGGGCACCCCCGCCCCTTACCCGCTTGCACTGCTCCAGCTGCTCGGTCAGCTCCTCCACGGCCTGCGTGTGCCTCTGCCGCACCTCCTGCAGCTGGGCTTCGTGCGTCCGCGTCTCCTCCTCCAGAGCCCTCTTCAGGATGGTCACCTCCTGCTCCCTCTTGGCCCTGAGACCCGACAGCAGCGGGAGTGAGGGGCGGAGCCACCCCCACTCCCAGCTCCTCAAATCGGGCGAGGAGGAGTCGTGCCGCAGGAGGGGTTTAGCTGGACCCAGAGAAAGGGTGTTTGGGGGGCTGCATGGAGGCCCCCGTCCGATACAAGAGGAGGATCCAGACGGGGTGCTAAGAGGCTCCATGCGCACGCACCCCACTGGAGCCCCAGGGACTCACACCCGCCTCACCCGGATTGAGCAAAATCCCTCGGGAGACGGAATCGACTCCGCTTCGGTCCAGGAGGGGATTCTGGCGGATCTGGGGGCGGGGGCTGTGTGCCGCCACAGTGGCCATAAACGGAAGCAGCGCTCGGGATGAGGGCGAGGTGGCACCCGGAGGGTCCCGGCTCACTCCCCCCGGGCGCCCCCTGGCGAGCAAGCAGGCCCCCGCAAGTGCCCCTGGCAGGCACCTGAGCTCCTGCTGGGTGGCGGTGCTGTCCAGCGTGTCCTCCAGCTCCGTCTTGAGCGCCTCCAGCTCCTCGCCCAGGTCCCGCTTCTGCTTCTCGGCCTTGTTGCGCGCGGCCCGCTCCGAGTCCAGGTCCTCCTGCAGGTCCGAGATGTGGGCCTCCAGCTCGCGGATCTTCTTCAGGGCATTGTTCTTCTGGCCCATCTCGTCCTCCAGCCTGCGGGGGGATGGGGGGGTCACACACCGAGGCGCGTGGGGCTGGCCGCTGCGGGCGAATGGGGGCCGACAAGCGGGGGAGGGGGGCCGGGCGGGCCAGGCCGGGCCGGGCGGCCAGGGACACTTGGGGGTGCCCAGGAAGGGCCCCTGCCGCTGGGCTGCGACACGCAGGGGGCGGCAGGAACGGCACCGGGGGCCGTGGAGCTGCCACGGGGGGCGTCGTTCTGCTTCTCCAGGGCATGGCTTGGGGTGTGATGGGGCCTCAAGACAGGCTGGGCCGGAGGCGCTTCCAGCCCGCAAAGCCAGGGTTGCGTGGGGGGCACCACAGCCCTTCCCCGCGCAGCCGGAGCCCCGGGGGCCACCCACCTGGCCAGGGCAGCCTGCAGCTCCTCCTCCTTCTTGGCCAGCTGCATCTTCAGTTCTGCGATCTGGGCCTGGAGGTCGGCGATCTGCTCGAGCAGGTCGCTCGAGTCGCCCTCCAGCTTCCGCTTCATCTTCTCCAGCTCCTGCCGGCACTTCTCCTCCTTCTTCAGGCGCACCTCCAGCTCCGAGATCATCGACTCGTGCTTGTTCTTCAGCTTGGTCAGGTTCTTGGCCTTCTCCTCCTCCTCCGCCAGGTTGGTCGTCAGGTCGCTGATCCGCTCTTCGAGCAGCTTCCTTTCCTGGGGAGAAGGGAGGACGACCGGCCGGTCCCGAAGCCGAAGGCGCCGCGTTCACACGGACAGCCCACGCCAAGGCGCCCCCGGGACGCGCCCAGCAGTCGGCCTTCCGAGGCCCGGATCCACGGAGGCGGCCGGACGCGAGGGGCGCCGGGTCCCACCCCCGCTCCTCTCCCGGGTGGCCCCCCTGGCTTCAACGGCCCCCCAGCGCTTGGCTCAGGGAGGCGCTTTGCCCCACAGGCTGGCTGTGCAGTGGGGCGAGGAGGCTTCGGCTGTTCACTGAACAGTCAGAGGCACCTCTGAGAAGCTTCTCTCGGAGCACGTGGGGGGCCAAGAAGGGGGCTCTGCACCCACCTTGGTGAGCTTGTTGTTCTGGTCGTCCATCATTAGAATGTCGTCCTCCATCTTCTTGATCTTGGCCTCTGCGGTGACTTTCTCCAGCTGCAGCTTTTGCCTCGCCGCTTCTTCTTCTTCCAGCTGATCCTCAAGATCCTTTTGGCGGAACAAACGGGGAGCTGCGGGCTTCGGGGATGATCACCCCGGAGAGGCCGGGGGCTGTGGCCCTGCTCGGCCCCCCTCATGCGTCCTGTGCACGGGCGACTCCCGTGGCACCTCAGACCTAATGCCCAACTCGGCTCTCCCCGCACCCCGAGCCCGAAGCAGCAGCGGGTCTCCCCGCTTCAGAAGACCTGGGGGGCCTTTCTGCCCCGGAGGCCATCCTCTGGACCCGCCAGGGACCGGCCGAAGGCAGTACCAGCATCTGCTGCTGCAGCTTCTTCTTCTCAGCCTGCAGCTGCACGCTGCGCTCCTCCTCCTCCTCGACCCGGGCCTCCATCTCGTGCAGAATCTCCTCCAGCTCCTGCTTCTTGGCGGTCAGGCGGATCCGCATCTCCTCTGCCTCCGCGTACAGCTCCGTCTCAGCCTGAAGCTGCTCCTGCAGCAGGTTCTTCTCCTCCAACAGCTGGATGAGGGCGAGAGGCACCGCGGCCGCTGCAGAGTCAGCGCTGGCAGCAACCCGGCCCACCCCGCGTGCCCAGGGCGCCCGGACCGGACTGGACCTCCAGCTGGGGCCGTGTCCAACGGGATGCGCGTCGCTCCCGCGAGCTGCAGGTGGCCGCTGGGCCCGTCCCCGTCCTGCCCCTCCCCGGCACCAAGCGGGCGCAAATCAACCCAGTCAGGGAGCGTGGGCTTTGTCCCCGAGGCACAGGGAGGGCCTGGAGGCTGAGCCTCACGCCCCCCTCACCTGCTGGTGCTTCTGCTCCAGCTCCTTGACCTCGCTCTCGGCCTTGACCTGCCGCTCCTTGATCAGCTTCAGCTCCTCCTCCTTCGCCTGCATCTCCTCCTCTTGCCGGGTGACCTGCAGCAGCGGCTTGACCTGCGGGCGAGGGCGGGAGTGACTCCTCGCACTGTCCGGGGCTCGGTGCTTACCGAACGTGCTGCTCCCGCCAAGACTGGGGCTCGGGGCCCGTGTCTCTCGCTCAAATACAAGGGCCAAGGGCACAGGGCAGGGAACGACCTCGGCCCGGGCAAGGTGTGTCGGCAAGGTGCGCTGCGGCAAAGCGTGGGGAGGGGCCGGAGCCCCCGCCTGAGCTGCCACGGAGCCCCCGGCAGGTCCCCGCAGCGAATCTCCTGCAGCAGGGGGCTGCGCAGCTCAGGAGCAGCCACCAAGAAGGCCCTGCCCCACGTCTCCCCCGACGCAGCGGCTCCGAAGGAAGGGCGCCCCACCTGCTCTTAAAATCCGGTCCGGCTCCCACAGGGCAGGCCGTCCTGGTGGCCCCGCAGGGCACTTACTTTGGTGAAAAGCCTCCACCACTGCCAGTTCCTCAGCTTCAGGTAGGCGGCACAGTTCCTCTGGATGACCTTCATGGCGGTTAATTGCTGCTGCCGCTTGGCAAAGGCCCTGCGCAAAGAAACCCGAAGCGACTGCCGTGCCTGTGCAAGGAAAGGCTCCCCGGCCCACGGGCAGCAGCACAGGGCAAGACGCAGCGCTCCCGGGCCTCCCGAAGGACCTCTGGCACCTGCTTTTTGCAAAACCTGGGTCGGGGAACCTCGGGGGGGTGGAGCACGCGACCAGAGCGGCCCCGAGGAGAGGATCAACCCTTCGCCGCTCCACATGCAAGGCCACTCACTGCAGCTCTCGCGTGGCGGGGCCACTGCCCCCGCTGCCCCGTGCACGTGGCCGGAGCCCGCGGAACGGCAGGGGCTCCCTTGGCCGCCCAGAGGCCTTTTCCTTCCCTTCCTCCCAGGTACCGGGAGGATGGGCCTCGGCCAGGCAGCTGCCAGGGAGTGGAGGCTCTGTCCTGCCTCCCGGGCGTGCCAGCCACGACTGCCGTGCTGGCCGGGAACGACGGTGGAGGCCGTCCCACGCTTCCGGGAGAGCATCAGGCCGGGGAAGGCCGAACTGGAGACCTTTCTTTGCAAACACAAACATGCCGCTTGCCCTGACCCAGAGCTGAGGCAGGAGCGATGCCCGGGCCTTGCGGACGCTCTCCGGATTATCCCCTGGGTGGTGCAGCTTGGCTTTCTTGCACGAGCTGCTCAGGACTCTGCACCTGTTTGCCAGTGCCCTTGCCCAGGGCACCCGGCCTCTCTCCGAGGCGAGCTGTGGCTGGATAGCTGGAGCAGAGCACCCCGGGAGCAGCGTGTCGGAGGGGCTCCGACTGTGTCCCCCACCCCGCTGCAGGCCGGGCCTTTGCTGCCAGCCGCTTCCTGGGAGGTGGGCTTACTTCCTTGCCAGGTAGCCTCGGCTCTGCGCCTGGAAGGCAATGATGATGTCGGTGATCTTCAGGTCTCTCTCCTCCTCCAGGTGAGCCAAGACACCCGTTCGGAAGAAGATCTTGCTCTGGCCAATCCTATACAGGTTGGGATCAAGCTCCAGGGCTTTGATCTGAGGGTGGGGAGGAGAGGCCACCTGTCACTGTACCATTCCGACAACATCACAAGGTTGCCACCTTCCTCTGGCAGGACACCGTGCTTGTCGTGGCTGCGCCTTGGCAAGATCCCGGCTGGCAGCGTTTCGCCAGCTCTGCCTGGCAGGCCAGGAAAAGCTTCACCTTCGGAGCTGGGACTTGTCCGCTGATTATTCAAGGCACGGAATCCCCACCGGATGCCGAGCATCACACTGTGCATTTAGCAAGCTTTTGTGCATTTATTTACACAAAAAATTGTGCAGGTGCAAAGGAATTCCAGGGTATGTCATGAGCTTAAAAGAGACGGCCAGCGACCACCACGGTGGCTGGAGAGCGTCCGTTAAGCAGGACGCTGCAGTGATGAGAAAAGGAAAGCAAAGGGAAAGACGAAAAGAAGGGAAGAGGAGAGAAGAAGGCTGAAGAATTCTCGAGATGCTGGGAAGAAAGCACGGAAAGCCAGGTCACGACAACAGAGTGAAGGGAAGCGCATGAAGAAGCAGGACCGAGGAACCGGCTCGGCTCACCATGAGGATGCATGCTTGCTTCCCATCCATAAATCCTTTCGGAATGGCGTTTGCGGCAAGAATTTCATAGCTGTGGAAAAAGTGTGTTGAAAAGAGCATTGAACAGTCTGCAGCGTGATCCCAGGCGGGTTCAAGTTTTATCCAGTAACCTCGAAACGAGATTCCCGCAATGTGTGCCGTGTGGGTTTGTCTTGGAAAGGTGCCTGGAATCAGCCGCAGACCCAAGCTGCTGCCACCGGGCGGGGTGCCTGGGTGGACTGGACTGGACTGAACACACGGGCCCGGCTGCACAAGTTTCTTGTTTGCCCTGAAGGCAGAAGGAAGGGGCTGGATCTTCCTTCCAAAGCCCTGAATGGCGGGGGACCTGGGTGCTGAACTCGCTGGTTACCCTCTGGGCCTTCCCACACACACTCACGTCCTGCCTGGAGCACCCTCATCGGTGGAAGCGCAGCCGGGAGCGCGGTGGGCGGCCCCCGCACTCTGGGATGGCTGCTCGGAGCCACCGGGGCCACGTCGCTGGGGGCTTCCGGCACCTGCAGAGAGGCCGAGCTTCCACGGAGGCCTCTGGGCACACAGACCTGGCGCCTGCTCCGTTTGCTGGCCGCTCAGATGCTTTGCCGCAGCGTTCATGCTGCCCCGATTCTTGAGGGAGGCGTGCAGCCGGCTCCCCGGAAGGCCCAGGACGGGCCTGCCACTTCCCTGCCCGGCCGGCCCAAGGCTCGCGATGCGCACGCGTGCCTTGTGGCCAAAGCATCCGGCTGTCTGAACTCGCGCTGACAACTCGGGTGCGCACACACTCACGCACGAAGCATTTCAGGTGCCTTACCGCTGCCGGAATTCCTGGAAGACGATCCTGTTGGGGAAGCCCTGGCGGCAGATGCGGATCCCCTCCAGCACGCCGTTGCACCGCAGCTGCTCCAGCACCAAGTGGGCGTCCAGCTTCCCGGCCTGCGAAACAGGGAAAAGGTGGCAACGCCGCCCGGGGCACCGCGCGCAACACGGCGGCTCTCGCCCGCGCGACGCACCCGCTTCTCGTGGTTCGGGATGATGCAGCGGACGAAGTTGGGGTTCGTGTTCCTCAGGGTGGTCATGAGCTTGGTCAGCTGCTCCTTGTACAGCTGCCCCACCGTCCGGAACATGCCCTTCTTGGTCTTGGAGGCACTGGGCAGTGAGCTCTCGGTCATCTTGGCCATCTGGTCCAGCCCCACGATGCGGTCGACTGAAAGGTGTCAGAGGTTGCGCGGCACGTCACACCCAGCGCCACCGAGCCGCCCCCGGCCTGCGCCACAGGGACGGCCACCTTCCAGGCCCCTTGGAAAGGCTGTTCCACGCAGGACGCGCACCACCGCCTACCCGTGGAGGTTTATGACGCCAAAGGGCAATTTGGTTAAGGGCCTCGCGCAGAAAAGCTCTGAGACGGACAAGGTTACACGGCAGGGGTCAGGGCGGCAGCGAGCTCCAAACTGGGGGTGCAGAAGCGCCCCAGCCCTGCCTGTCCGGGGCCCTCCAGGTGCGCTGGGCGAGAGCGCCCGCCGGTTCCCAGCCAGCGTGGCCCGCGAGGGGCGCTGCCACCCGGCACATCCGGGGCACCCGCCTGGGCGGATCTCTGTGTGGATGAGCCCCGTGCCCAGGAGGGCTGGGCATGCACACACGCTCCCCGGCGGCCCGGCTCAGGCGGGTTGCAGCGTGCCTGCGCACCGCGTCACGCCCTACCGTCTTTCCAGAGATCCGCCACGAACTTCTCGGAGGACTGATTCAGCAAGGCGGTCACGTTATCGTTGAGGGGGTCCATGTTCTTGGTCAGCCAGGCGGTTGCGTTGTAGTTCACCTGGCGGGACAGACAAACCCACGGCGAGTGCCGCCGCCGCCGCGTCTCCTCGCGCAACAGCCGGGACTGCGCAGGGGCCCCACCGCGGCCAGTGCAGGGGAGCCCACCCTGCGGGCCATGCGGGAGAGCCCCTCCGGGCCACGCCAGCCGGGCCCGCAGGCGGCAGGGGCGGCATGGTGGGAGGGCCTGCCGCCTCCGCGCCCCCTCCCCCGCCCCGTACCTTTCCGGCGTAGTGGATGATGGAGAACTCGGTTTTGTCCTTGAGCTGCTTCTGCTTCTGGAACTTGGGGTGGTTGCCCTGCTCCGTGCCGAGCTTCTCCACAAACGAGGTGTCGGTGGCTTTGGGGAACCAGCACTCCTCGTCCAGCAGGGCCAAGACGCCAGGAGGGTTGGTCTAGAAGGGCAAACGACAGGGTATCTTGAGGCGCCCCGGCAGGGGGCCCTTCTCGGCACGGCCAGTCCCCGGGGAACGTGAAAGGAAGAGCGGTATTACGTAGCCTCATTCCGTCCTCACGACAAGAACCCTGTGAGGCAGGGCTGGCTGAGAGTGAGCGACGGGCCCCAGCTGGACACGCAGTGACTGACCAGCCCCGGCCCGCACTCTCGCCGCCAGGCCCCCGGCTCTCGCTCGGCCGCTCCCCAGACCCCATGCCAGGCAGCGGTGGCCCTGGACACTGAGAGCGCCCAAGGAAGAGCAGAGGGGGCAGCGTGCTCAGGGCACATGCAGAAGCCCCCAGGGCCAGGCTCCTGGCGACGAGGCCATCCAGTTCCATGGGCAGAGGGGAGCTCCAGACCGGACTCGCCGGGCCTGGGGCTCTGCGCACACAGAGCGCCCCCCCCCCCCCGGTAACGGGGTGCGCAAGGCAGCCGGCCGTGTTTGGTGGCCGAACATCGGTGCGCGAGCTTTTATCCCGGGGCGTTCAGCGTCATCAGCCACCCTTGGGAGTCTGAGAACAAACCCCGATGCGCGCGGAGCGTGTGCGGGCGCCCGGCGAGAGGCCGGGGGGGGCTGCCGGGGGCCGCTCACCGGTCTCTCGATGAGCTCGATGCAGGGCTGCAGGTCCAGCCCGAAGTCGATGAAGTTCCACTCGATGCCCTCCCTCTGGTACTCCTCCTGCTCCAGGATGAACATGGTGTGGTTGAAGAGCTGCTGCAGCTTCTCGTTGGTGTAGTTGATGCAGAGCTGCTCGAACGAGTTCACCTGGAAGGGGCGGGGAAGGAGACGCGGGCCCGCTCCGTGAGCCTGGGACCCGGCACCCGGGGCCGGCCGGTCCCAGCCGCAGCGAAGCCAGGGAGCAGGGTCCCGACAGACACGGGCCCCATGAGGTCGCGCCTCCCCTCCTGGGGCACGTGAGGAAAGGGGCGCCTCTGAAGAGCAGCTCCCGCTCGCCCCGGGTGCTTCCAGGGAGAGCAAGCCTCTGCAAGCACTTGAAAGGTCTCCTGTATCTCCTCCTCCTCCTCCTCCTCTTTACTAGATTTTCCCCGGCAGGAAAGAAGACGGGGGCTAGCAAGAGGAAGATACTGGAGCGCATGGAGTGCATTACGCACGCCGTGTCCGGAAGCAGCCCTGAGCCGAGCCAAAGGGACCCACCTCGAAAATCTCGAACCCAGCGATGTCCAGGATCCCCAGGAACGAGGCGCCCTGCCGCTTGGTCTTGTCCAGGGCTTTGTTCACGCGGCTCAGGATCCAGCGGAAGAGGCGCTCGTACGTCGCTTTGGCCAAGGCTTCGACGGCAAAATCAGCCTGGGGAGAACAGCACGTCCCCGTGAAGGAAAGGAACGGTCAAACCGGGACACCTGGCAGGGCAACATCCGCAGCCAGGACGGCAGGCAGGACTTGGGGGCGCGAAAGGGGGAGTCGTTACCTGCTCTTTGGTCTGGGCTTTCTGGACTACGTCCCGCCCAACCTTGATCCTCGGGGTCAGGATGGACCGTGTGAAATCGGTCACGTTGATACCCATAAGGTGACACACCTTCTGTGCAGCTGGAATAAAGCGGATCAAAATGTCAGTTTGCATGGCATCTTTCTCTCCGCTTGAGGCACTGGCAAGCGTTTCCTACAGCAAACTAACTCTTCCGGGGGGATACACGAGTGTCTGCAGGCCAGCCATGTGCCCAGAACTCCTGGCAACATGCACATGTTCGTTTGGACAGGACAAGCTCACCACACGGAGAGAAATCCCTTTGAATTGCCCACCGCTGGCCGGCCTACCTGTGTTGTCCGGCATCGACGCCTGGTCGGTGTTTCGCTCTTTCTTGAAGACGATGTTGCCGAGCTGGAGAACCGACGAGACGACTTTCAGCATGGCTGTGAGAACAGGAGAGAGAGAGAGACTCTCAAAAAGGGGGGGGGGGGGGGAGGGGGGTGCACGCTGCCCCCTGCCCACACTCCTTGCTTTCATGCTCTGCTCCTAGGAGACCCATAAGGAGCGGCATTAAGCTCAGTGGGCCAATCCTGACTTGACGTTCTGTACCCCAGTAGGGATTCCAAAATCCAGAGTGGACCTGGGGTCAAATGAAAGACGAGAGCGGCCATCCGCAAACTCTACTGGCTACCCTTTGAAATAGGCGCATTTGTGGAGCATTTGTGGAATGGCGGAATCTGTCCCTGGCTGCAACCCCTGGCTGTTTCTAAAGAGCCGCTCAGTGTCTTTTTTCAGCAGGAAAAGCTGTTGGCACGACGCAAACCAAGGTGGGCCTGAGGCAGTCGCAGCTCCGTAGCCAGTCCTCGCTTTACGTGGTCATTTGTTGCTGGCGGGCAGCCCTGGGCCAGCTCCGGGCCTTGGCAGAGGCTGCCCAGCAGAATGGCCCCCATCCAGCCTCCCCAACTTGGCAGCCTGAGATCACTGCTCGTTATAAGATGGGTGGGGATGCTGGATTGTAGCCGGGGCTGTTTTTGTGACAATGCGGGTGATGGATGGTGATGACTGCGATATACCGGGAATCCTCCGTGAAAGATGTTAGGAGACAGAGCACCTGGAGCAGGGCCTTCTCTGTGGTGGCTCCCCGCCTATGGAATGCGCTTCCCAGAGAGGTCCGCCTGGCGCCGTCATATGTTTTTCGGCGCCAGGTTAAGACCTTTTTATTTGATCAACATTTTAATAAGTTTTACTATTGTATTTTTTATCATATTTTAACCGCAGCCAGAGTGGGTCGATAATTTATTTATGTTTGGTGATATTTGTATTTTATCTTTGTAAGCCGTCCTGAGGCTTTTGCAAAGGATGGCATATAAATACCCTAAATAAATAAATACTTTGCAATGCAGAGTAATGGTTAGAGCGCTGCTGGCGTGTTAAAAACCAAAAGTGCTGCTCAGAGCAGACCCACTGAAGTGAAACGGGGCTTGACGGGGGCTAAGCCCCCGTGTTTAGGCAGGTCCTGGAGCAACCGAGGAGGAAGCCAGCCAGCCAGGCGACGAGCGAGCGAGCGAGCGGGCAGGCGGGCGACGGCGAGGGCCACCCACCCTGCCCCGGGCGAGGACCAGCCGTGGGCGGAGTCCCCAGTGCCGCATCCCTTCGCTCTGCTTACCGGTTTGCTCTTCCTCAGTGAAGCCCATGATGCTCATCGCTTCCAGGGTCTCCTGGAACATTTCGTCGTCCTGCTGCGAGGGGATGGGCACGTAGCCGTTGGACAGGAAGGTGTAGTTGCTGAAGCCTTCGAGCAGCAGGTCACCTGCGGGAGAGGCGAGTCAGCCCAGGCCGGCCGGCACCGGCCAAACAGAAAACCGCCTGCACAGGGGATGGTCCCACGGGGAGCCCACACGGGCCCACGCCGGCTTGCTCGGCCGGAGACTCAGAGCAGATGCACTCGGACGGGGGGTTCCACTCTTATCGCTACTGGACCCCGTCTTCTCGGCCCGAGGATCGCTGCGTCCCAAAATGGGCCACCTCACGGGAGAGTGCTGCCTCGAGGCCAGGGCGAGCGAGCTGTGGGCATTTCTGGGCCGGGCTCCCCTGGGTTTTTCAGCTGCCATAATGAGGAGCCGTGGGCAGGGAGGGTCAGATCCTGCGCAGGGAATGTGAGAGAGGAGCATCTCTGCACTCAGAACAGCTCCCTCTGGGCCGGCACCCCGCTTCCCACAGCGGCCGGCCAGGGGTCGCCGGAGCCCCCCAGCGGGGCAACCGCCCCACCCTTTCGCTGCCATGCGGAAAGCTGCATCAGGACCAGAGGAAGGGGTGCGAGTTGGCATTAGAATCCCCAATACTTTAAGATATGCCGAACTACCGGCAGGAAGAAGCAGCCCATCGAAAGGACTCCTGACGAAGGCGGAAGGCGGAAGTGCAAATGCGGGGCTGATGCGAAACCGCAGAGAATCAGGAGACCGCGCCAGAAGCCTCTGGAAGGCGGTGCCGCCACCCACAACCTACCCAGATGCCCCCCGAGAAAGGAATGAAGGGTGGCAGCCCCAGACAAGAGCTCTGGCGCACACGCTCCATTCCCAAGACATGTTTGGGTTGAGGGATCCAGGCCGCCCCGGTGACTCAGAGGTCTGATCTCCGGCTTGTTCCAGCAGCCGGGGCTGGTTCACATCCTGCTCCTGGCAGTTTCGCCACCGAGCATCCGCACGCCAGGCCGAGCAACACTCCCCTCGGGAACGGTCTCCCACCGCTGCCCCGCACTGACCCCAGAGGAGCGTGGGGGCCGGCTTCCCCCCGGCCCTCCCCAGCTGCCCAGGCGAGGGGGCAGGGCAGCCCGCCACTCACTCTTCATTTGCTCATTGGCTCCGGCAAGCAGGTAGTAAAATATGTGGAAGGTCCTCTCTTCTCGGGCTTGCCGAATGGCACGGGACTTTTCCAGCAAGTCTGTTGGCATTTGTTAAGCCGCAAGCAAACCGGCACGCAGGTGCGGTCCCCCTCCGTGTCTCTGCTCCCTGCCCTGCGGCCTCTTCCCGGCTTTTAAATGGCTTTAATCCTATATGAATGTTTGTGTCTTTCGCATAGACTCTCACAGTCGGAAGGGGCCTAGCGGGCCCTCCGGTCCAATCCCCAGGACTCGAGTCGCCCATCCAGGTTCGAACCAGGCCTGGCCCTGCTTAGCTTCCAAGACTAGGCAGGATCAGGCACTTCGGGCTATACTGGTTATTGTATGAAGTTGGCGTGCTTGAGCTAACCTAAGTTTGTTTTAAACCATGATCTCTGGTTCATGCAGAACAAGCCAGGATTCTCCGAGAGTGAATCTCGGCACCAGCCAAGTGCACCGTCCAAACACAGAGGCGGCGGCATCTCAGGGTTTGCTCAGGCTTCCTGCTCCCCACGAAGGCAATGCTGAACCAGCTTCCCCGGCTGGGAGACCTGAGGATGCACCAGACTGCAATTCCCACCATCCGCAAACCGCTCGGCGGGGCTAAAACGAACTAGCCGGATGTGTGAGGCAGCCCCGCGTCTGGCTTCCAGCTCGCCCTCACTTTTGGGGGATGGAGACCGTTTCTGAATTCTGCGAGTCCACGTACACTCCCCTGAAATGCCTCCTCGTCTGGCATCTTGCCCCCAATTTCCTCAGCCCTCCTAAACAAGGGAGATGTTCCATCCGCACTGAGCTCATGTCTTGTCTTCTCTCCAGCACGACAGAATTCTTTCTGCTTAAGACTCCGCTCGTTCGCCTTTGCTATTTATGCAGGGGAGGAATTTCTCCGCATGTTTGTTTCTCTGTTTAAACAAAGTGCTTTTGCACAAACACAACCCAAAGAAAGGCAGCAGCTGTTGGCAACCATTCTTGCACGAAGCCCGACTTACTGGAAGCGATTGCGCTGCTTTCCTTGGCCGTGCCCGAGGCACGGAGGGGGCATCCAGCTCACATCCCGCGACACAAGGCAGGATGCCCAGCAGAGACCAGGGCAGCACGGCTGCCCCCCACGGAGCCTAGACCAGCCGCGAGGCACAGAGTGCCCCTGCAGGGGCCAGCTCCCCCCCCCCGGGACCCATGCTGGAGGGCTACTGCTCCCATCCTCCTCAGCCAGCATGGCCATTCGCTAGGGACGATGGGACTGAAGTCCGGGACATCAGCCCCGGACCGCCTCTCCTCGCACCCCCATCGCCGCTGGCCTGTTGCCCCGACGGGCGCCTTCTCAGCGGGGAGCTGTGCCAGCCAGCCAGGCAGATGTTGCTCCCTGGACCTCTCCCACGCGAGGAGGAGAGCACGGGAAGACGGCTGCCCAGTCCCCGGCTCCGCCGCAGGGGACGCGCCCCAGCAAGAGCGTTCGCGTGCATGCGGCGCTGGCAGGCCGGGCCGAGGCCAGGGCTCGCTCGCTTTTCTGCTCTGCCCAGCTCTCCCGAAGCCGGGAACAAACAGGGGCAGCCTGCACCCTGGACAAGCCGGAGGAGGGCCGCCACGCTCCCACGGATCCCCCGCACCCCTTCCTTCCCGTGCCTTCGCTCTCCTCCTTGCGCTCCATCAAATTCTGTCCCACGAGCAGAAAAGGATACAGGTTTCTATGTTCGCTCCGACAATGTAGCCCGTCACGTCAAAGTTGATGCGGATAAATTTACCCTGTCAATAAGGAGAGGAGAAGACCTTGGCGCGGCTTCCAAACATCGCCTGCCTGTCAGGACGCTCTGCGCATCGCCAGGCGCCCCAGTTTTGCAGAAGAGCCAGAGAGGAATTGGCAGGGATCAGCGGGGATTCAAAGTGGGTGCGGCACACGCCGCAATCGACATCTTCCGCTTCCACTGCTTTGCAGCCTCACATTCCCGCCTGCAAAAGCTGGGAAGCCCCTGGCTGCCTTTACGGCAACTTGTAGGCCAAAACTCTGGAGAGCCACAACTCCCATCAGCCCCACGGAGAGGAGCAAATGGCGAGAGGCGATGGGAGCGGCAGGCCAAAACACCAGAAAGACCACACGGTTCCAGCCCCGGCCGGCTACCTCCAAAGAAGGGACCCTCCATGCCTTGTACCCCCCCCCCCCCCCGGTGTCCCTCCTTCCTCCCAGGAGGCCCTGGGACAGGTCGCTCTGGGCTAAGGGCCAGCGTGCCCCCCCACAGCCCCTCCCTCCCCCAGCAAAAATCATCCCAGGTTTCCCCGGAGGAGTCAGAAGGGCTGGCTCTGGCAGGGAACAGGGAAAAATTGTGGCCGCACACATGGAAATCAAATCCTCTTTTTGTTCCCCATCACACATACGCTAAGAATTCGTTAAATAAAATAAGCGCACTCCCAGCGGGGCAGAGTCAGAGGGCTGCACGCCGGTTCGGTTCCGTGAGCCCCGACGACAACCCCGAACATTCCCCGTGCCTCGGACTTGGCAACTTACAAATCGCGAGGAATTATCGTTCTTGACGGTTTTGGCATTCCCGAAAGCTTCGAGGATGGGATTGGCCTGCAGAAGCTGCTTTTCCAGCTCCCCCTAAAATGGATTGAGATGTCGTTATCCTCAGGGAATTGGCGATACAGCGCCACAAAGAGCCGCAGGAGCACGGAGGACCTCATTTCCCCCCACAGAGGCAGCATCTCTGGTTGCAAAGATCCTCCCGTGGCACGGACGGACAGACGGCACTCGCGTGTGCATCTCTTTCCACACGCACGCCAGCCTGGGATACGGAGCAGGATTTGCTGCCTCAGAAAAAACACGGCGCACTCTCCGTGCGTTTTGCCCAGGAAGGAGGAAAATAGCCGCCGTCTCCGTTCTCCACTCGTTCGCCGGCAGGGCAGTTGCGCCCAGCGATTCTCCTTGTCGCACACCTGGAGCAGGAGGGCTGGCGGCCTCGATCCGATCCGATCCGTGGGTGAGAGGAGGACCGTCTCGTCTCCCCTCCTCAGCCAGCGCGCGGCGTGCCCCAAGGAGCCCTCCCGCTCCCTGCCCGGGGCCCGCTGAGCTGAAGCACGTGGCGGCCCGGGGCACGGGCACGGCGCCGGCGCCCGGTGCGCCCTGCATGTAGGACGGCACGAAGCGTCTCCCGCCCCATCGATCCGTCGGGTTAAATGCGGGGCTTCGAGAGGGTGCGCGGGGCGATGCACAATTTTCAAAACGAGGTCACCACGGTGTCCCATGCAGAATCACGCATGCGGTTGCACGCCGAGGAGGAGGAGGAGTGCGCACACGCCGAGGAGGAGGAGGAGTGCACACACTAGCCATGCAGCAGGACGGCGGAGGCGCCCGGGGAGGCGTTCCACCAAGCAGCGGGGCGGCGCTGGGAGCAGGCCCCCCCCGCAGCGGGACCCCCGCCTCGCCCGTGGGGGAGGCCCGGCGCCTGGCTGGGGCGGACTCGTCCGAAGAGCCCGCGTGTGGACGGGCCGTTCCTCGGGGGCACCGGGGGGCCGCAGCGCTGCTCCGCACCCAGCAGGCTGGAGCCAGGCAGAGGGAGCCACACTCGGGGGGCCCGCGGAAATTAACGGGGCTCCACTCGGCCCCTTTCTGCAAGCTGCAACACCCCACCCGCCACGAGGAAATTCGTCTGGCTTGTGGTGCCGCTGGCGGCAGGGAAGGGGGCGGCCCGGGCGTCCTCTGCCGCCTGGGACCCTCTGGGGCTAGGGGCTCGGGGACCTGCTGCGCTCAATGCCAAGGCACCCCTTGGCCGGAGACGAGCCGTCCTCGTTGGAAAAGCCCAGGGAGCGGCGGCGGGGCTGCGCTGCCCCGGCAAGCGCGGGGATTTTCCTGTCGGCCCAGGCACCCCTGGTCTGGCCGGTGGCCGAGAGCGCAGTGAAAGCGGCCGGATGATTTCAGTTCCTCTTTGCAGCGCCTCTCCTTCTTCCGACCAGCGGCTGGGAAGAGGTGAGATGGGGCCCAGGGGCCGGGCCGGGTTCAAAGACCACGGCTGTTCCGAGGACACACGTCGGTCAGCCGCGTGCCCCAGCCTTGCCGTCCCTCTGCTGGCCCCCTCCCCATGCCAGCAGTGCCGGCAAATTCCCTGCGGGTTCCAGGGTCATCCTTTCGGCCTGCTGCCGACCACGCTGGGCCGGTTTGGGGCATGCAGAAGCCTTGCAGCGCAGGCTGGCAAGCAGCAGCGAAACGAGCAAGCAGCGCGGATCATGTCTGTCAAGCACCACACAGTGACCAGCTGGGACCACCACTGTCCTGGAGCAGCCCCTCGAGGCATCGCTCAGCTTGGGGGCTGCTGTCTTGCGAGAAACACGCGCTCAGAGGCTTGTCAGAAAGGAAGACGGTCCAACGGGCGAGCCCCTTGGGGAGAGCGACTCTTTGGGTGACGGCGGCCGCCTCTCGGCAGCAGAAGCAGGCGTCCCGAGCCTACGTGTTCGGGCGCAAGGGCCACTGGAAGCAGAGGATCGCCTGCCCCGCTCCCGGGAAGGTGGGCGCGTGCTCGGGATCGGCGCCGGGAGACCGTGGGTGTGTGCTTCGGTGCGTTGTCACTCCGGGACGTGATTCTGGATTGCGACCCAGGGTCCGCTCGGTGATTCCCTCAGGAGGAGGGGTGCAACTACAGCATGCAAGTCCACACTCTGTGCCTTCGCACACGCACACACACACACACCAAACAGTCCGGATTACTCACGTAAGCAAAAGATGGACCTTGCTGCAGTCAAAGGACACGGCATAAAACAATCATCAGTTTCATCACGTCCCTGCCAGCTATGCTTGCAACCTGCGCCCGAGCATCGAGCATCGAGCTACGGTAACGCAACCGGCCTTCTCGTGGAAAATCAAGCCGGAAGGACCGACCTGAGGGTTTGCGGGGGTGGTCGGAAGCTAAATCAAGGAGGGGCTTGCTGTGGGGAGAAAGGCTGCAGGCCGTGCGGCTTCGCTCCGCTGGGAGGAGGCCGCGCCGCAGGCAAACGTGGGGTGACCTGCTCGGCTGCGGGCGTCTCTGTGCCGGCGGGCGTCTCGCACTGTGCCCCGGCCTGGGCAGCGCCCATCGCTCTCCTCCGCAACCCCACGCCTTTCCCCAGATTTTGCTGCAGAGAGCACCGGAAAGCTGCACTCCGGCCTTTTCATCCAACCTCATCAAGTGGCGCCCGGTTTTGTCGGAGTCGGGCATGGCAACGCCTCGGATTTTCCTGGCTCCCATCGAGGTCAAGGTTCTGCTTTCCAGACCCCAGGAAGGCAGCGAGCCCTGCCCCATGCTGGTGGGGTGTGGCGGCGGAGGGGATGCGGGCAGGGAGGGCTGCCTTCACACGGGGCCTCAGATCCCAGCCCGAGGGTGCAGGTCCCTGCTGGCTGGCCAGAAAGGGCCTCTTCGTCCACTGCTTCTCACTACTCAGTGGGAGGAAGGGGCCAAGGCAAGCTGGCCCCATGGTCCCCCAGGATCCAGTTCTCCCCCAGAGGATCTGCCCCAGCCTTGTCGGGCTCAAAGGAAAGGTGGAGCCCATGACTGTCTTGCAGAGAGATGTGCCGGCGCTCCCCACAGAGAGCCCGGGGGCCGGCGGAGTGCTCCTCCCGCCCCCCGCTCACTTGCACGCAGCAAGAGATGCCAGACAGAGCCCCTTTTCCGTAAACACGGAGCGGAGACCTCGCCGTGTCCTCTCCATCGTGCCTGGCTGCTTGGCAAGACAAGGAGGCAGCCGAGAGCGGGCGGCTTGGCTTTGCAGGCAGGCCGCCCGCTCTGTGCCGGGGCTTCGGCTCAGGGCCATCCTCCCGGCGCTGCCCTAAGAAACATCAAGGCTCCATTACGGTCGGGGGGAAGAGGGGGCGGCAGGCGGGCGGGGGCCACTCACCGTGATGCTGACGTCTTTCTTGCCCTTGTGGGACGAGGCCACGACCGCCAGGTACTGAATGACTTTCTTGGTGTTCTCCGTCTTGCCAGCACCCGACTCCCCGCTAGGGAGAGAAGCGCACAAGAGAGGGAGTCACACCTGCCCCCCGGGTGGCAATACGGACACCCCATGACGCGACCCAACTAAGAGCTGAGCTGCTTTCTGTGCTGCCGAATTGCCAGGAAAGCCACGGCCCAGCCCGGCCCAGCACACCTATTTCCTTGCTCTGGGAAATATGGTTTAGACGAGCGATCCGTGAAGCAGTGAGACACTGTAAAGAGCAGGACATAAAAAAATTAACTATGTAAATACATAAATTTGTTGAGGCGGGGCTGGCCCGGCTCGCAAGTCACGAGGGGCACCCACACCGTCCTCTCAGCACGGGACAGCAACAAAAGCAGAGGAGCAGAGTGAGTCAGAAGGGGCCTCCGGGTCATCTAGTCTGACCCCCAGCTCCAGCTGGCTCCGCTCATGACGTGCCCACCAAAGCAGAGGTGAAGCTGCTGATCTGGGCCAGACGTCCTCGACGCGGGTCTCGCAGAGGCGTCAGACGGCAAATCCCATTCTCCCCCTGGCCAGTACAGGGGGGACCATGAGGATTGCAGCCCGATACCTGTGCAAACCCCCAGGCTGGGGGCACCCGAACTGGGGTGATGACCCCACATTCAGTCAACCCCCCAAGGAACCCCTCAAAGTCCCAGTCCGGGAAGCAACGCCGGGTGGCGCCAGCAACACAGTCATGGAGGAGGAGGAGGAGGAGGAGGAAGGGAAGGAGGGCAAACCCAGGAAAGCTGGGATCAGGGCCGACTCAGGCTCCCCAGGCTTGGAACTCCTCCACCGGCTTCACAGCAGCTCAGCTCCTCTTCCTAATTAGGAGGTGCCTCGTCTCGAAGGCAGAGGAGGAGGAGGCAGCCGAGGCCACGGCGGGCTCGCACTCACTCACTCGGGGTCGGTGCTCAGCCTTAAAAGGCCAGGCGTCATTTCTCTCCAGGAAGTTTCGTTAACGAGGACAGCGGTGGCACCGGAGCCGTGCGAATCGCCATCGCCGTCCAGGGCCTGAGAGAGGCGAGCGAGAACAGGCGAGGAGCCGGCGAGGAGAGAGGGAGGGCGACACGGCCGCTGCGAGGAGGGGAAGGAGAGCTTTCCTCCCAGGACCGGGCCTTTCGAGAGAGCTTCGTGGGGTGCCTTCGCCTTCATCCGGAGCCGGATGGGGCAGCCTTTCCAACGGAAAAGGCTCTCAAACAGGACTCACCTTTATAGAAGAGACACATGCCCAGAGGAGAGACTGGGCGGGCGGGGGGGTGCGGCCCCATTTCCTTCTGCCCCGTCTCAGGGCAGCCCTGCTCCAGGGGGCTCGCTCTGGGCTCTGCGTCCACCTGTTCTGGGGACGCTCTGGGCTGAAGGACAAGCCCAGTCCGGGGCTTTCTTGCACAGCCTGGAGGCCGCAGCCGCCGGCGTTACATGGGGCCCCAGGGCTGAAATATGTCCGGGTTTTATTGATAAAAATTAAGTGTTCTGGGAACGGCTCCAGACTAAACATGCCAGTTCGAAGACATTTGCGTAAAGAGCTTTCACATAAATCTCCTTTGCATCTTTGCATCTGGAAAGGGAAGAGAGCATGCAGCCCCCCCCGCCCGCAAGGCTTTGAGCTTCCCGTTCGTGGGTCAGGCCCCCCCCCCGAGGGCAGCAGCATTCCCTGGGAGACCCTGATGCCCCCCAGGCCTGAGCTGAGGGGCGAGAGCAGCACAGGGCCTGCTCTGGCCCCAGCCCAATTCCGGGCGGCAATCCGGTGGGTCGGAAAGGCCAAAGGCAGGGAATGTGCACGGCCCGGGCATGTCTGCCGCCCCGGAAGAGGCACGGCGGCCAGAGGGAAGAACAGAAGAGGGGCCGCATCTCTTGCAGCCCAGGGGCCAAATGCAATTTTGGAGGCGTTGGGGGGCACGTTTGGGGGGGCAAGCCAAGAGCAAAGGGTCGTGGGCAAAATACTTTCAGAAAGTGTATTTAGGCTTCAAGTTCTTCCTAAGGCGGAAGAGAGAAATTATATCCTTTTTGGGTGGAGGAAAACACACTCAAAAGCCAGGACTCCGGGGGCATGGGAAGGGGGCAGGGCTGCCTGGCTGCCCCCCGAGGGCCGCACGGGTGGGCACGGCCGGCGAGCTCGTGTTCAGCCCCCCCGAGTGAAGCAGCCCCCCGTGCTTCGCGGAAAGGGCATGGCAGGGGAAGCTGCCCCTCTTCCCGAGGCAGGTCCTGCTCTGGACGCCCTTCCCGTCCGGAAGCGCCCCGGGAGTGGAGACGCAGGGAGGAAGCACGGGGCCAGGGTGGGCCCTTCACTCGGAAGCGGGCGCCTCCGGCTCTGCCACCCACACAGGATGCGAGCCCTTCCGGCTGGACAAGCAGGCGGCTGGCTGCCTCTGCAGCTCGCAGGCCTCAGGAACGCCCCCACGATGAAGAAGAGGCTTGGCCGGCCACGGGAGGGACGGAGATCCCCCTCGCCCCAGCACCAGTCCAGACGTCTCCTGCCTCCTGGATGAAGCACCAGAAATGCACATGGCCCCTCGGGGAGGGGAGGGGAGGGGAGGGCAACCACCTCCGGCCTGACCCGGCACAAGGGTTAGTTTGCATCGCAGAAAGGTGCTTCGTGCGGGTCTTGCAGCGATGCTTCAGCTGTGGGGGGTCGGGGGGAGGCCGGCCCATCTCTCTGTCTGTCTGTCTGTCTGTCTGTCTCTTTCCTCCTTTGAGAGACGTCCTTTCCAGAGGACCCCTCAGCCCCCCGTCCAAACCTGCAGGCTAAGACATGATCTCGGAATGATCAACTGGAGACAGGCAATCCTTCTACAGAGCCTGAGAGATGGGAACGGTGGCCAAGTGGCCTACTTTGCAGGGGACAGTCCTTCACTCGAGAAGAGCCCTACAGCGGGAGGGCAGGAGTGGGGATGCTGTCAGCTGGGGATGATGGGTGTTGTGCTCCAACGCATCTGAGGGCACAAAGCCGGGGAGGATGGGGGAAGCGCAGAGTGGCAAGAGGCGCATTTCGGCCGTGAAGCGTCACCGTGGGGAGGGGGCCTTCCGCAAGCTAAGGGTGGGCCAAGAGAGGGGGGCGCCGGGGAGGGCGGTCCGTGGGCAGGACTTACGTGCAGAGAATGGACTGGTCCTCTCGATCTGTGGAGAAACCAAAGAGAGGCCGTCAAAGAGGTGCTCACCACGGAGGCTTCTTCGGGCTCAGCACAGGCAGCCACGCTGCCTCCCAGGCAGGCAGGCAGGCAGGCAGGCAGGCAGGGGGGCCGGGCGCGGGTCCCGCTCGCCTGCGGTGGCTCGCTGCCCAGGGGCTGGGAAGAGCCCCCGGGCTGCTACCCGGTCCCCTGATCGGAGGGTGGCCGGCCTGGGACCCGGGGCGTCTGCAGGCCAAGCAAGGCGCCTCCCCGCTTGATTCGCCTTCTCACATTTCAGAGCTCAGCCACAAACTTCCTCAGCTTCATCCGCAAGGACAGATGTGGACCAAGAGACAAGAGGCCCCAACCATCCGCCTCTGCACCAGAGCCAGAGGGCAACCCGAGCGGATGGATCCCGGGGCCTCGCTTGCCAGTGGCCCTGGAGGCCATCGCGCCGGCGGAGGAAGAGGTCAAGGGGCTTTTCCCGAAGCAAAGCAAACGCCGGTGAAAGCCCCGCTCGGCTCTTCCTCCGCCTCAGATCAAAGCTGCGCTCACTCCTTTTAATCTAGCAATTCACACCAGCTGACAGCTTTAATTGGGGGCACTTAATGGAGAAGCTGAATCACACTAACGGCCAACATTGAAAACAAGAAGGGCCTGGGAAAGCCGGTCACGTGCCGAGCATTCCAGCGCAGGCCTAGCCCTCCTCCCTGGCCGTGTTGCCAGGCGCATCAGGGGCTAGGGCGACTGACTCTCACTCTGCAGGCAGACCTACATTTCCACGTACGTTCTGATGAGCTGCTGTGCCCGTCCGCCTTCTTTTTCTGGGATGCGCTTCCTGCGTTTTGGCATCTCTGGGCCACTGCTGGGACCGAGCGGGGTTTGCTTCCGCCACCTGCATCAGGTGCTGCTGTCTATGGAGTCGCGGCACGGACCCCGGTGGATGCGAGCCCCGGGCACAGCACCCTCTCAAAGGTGGGACGAGTGAGGAGGGCAGGGGGCCTGGCCAGCCCCCCGGAAGGCGTTCAGCCTCGGACAGTGGGTCTAGGAGAGAGCCAGGATCCCGGCCCCGCGGACGCCAATTCCAGCAATCTGACGAAGCAGCCCTCAAATCAGCAAGGCTTCTCTGTTGCGAGGAACCCGACGGCGAAAGTGAACGGCTGCACCCTTCAAAGCCACACATGGGAAGCAACTGTGTATGTACGTGCCGTCTAGGCAACTTGTCGTCTTTCCTGCAGTGATGCTGAGGCAGTTTGCACGGCCTCCCTCCGCTCCATTTCTCCTCACAACAACCCTGCGAGGTGGCAAGGCTGAGAGCCAGGCGCTGGCCAAAAGCGACCCCGGCTGCAACGAGGCCGCATGGGGGGCGAGGACGGCTCTCCCGAGACCCAGTGCAACACTCCCCCCGCCACCAACTGTTAACAGCCCTACGTGGCTTCGAAGACTAACTAGGACGCTCTTGCTGTGAGTTTCCTTGCAAGAAAAGCCGCCGGCTGCTTCACGGTGCCCAGAGCGAGATGCATGGCCTCTCCGACTCAGGGAAAGCCATAGAAATGCACAGAGCCCTTGCGCAATCGAGCCCAAAGTCCATCAAACTGGGATTGCGAGTCTGGTGACCAGACAGAATCAGCTGGGAAGCTCGCGCGGTTGCAGACATGCCGCGCATCCTGGGTGCCCATTCAGGCATTCCACCCAGCAGCCACCTTCACCGGGACGCACGGGGAATTGGCCCAGCTCGACCCTCCCCGCTCCCTCAGTGAACACGGCCCTCCCATCCTCCGGGCCCCTGGCGCCCTTCCAAGAAAGCGCGAGCGCCTCCTTGGCACCGGCCCGGCCCCCGCCTGCGGCCCCGCGGCCCCCCCAGAGGAGCCGCTCTGCTCTGCTCCGCTCCGCTTCACGCAGCCCTGGTTCGCCAGCACGGCGCATCCTGGTGCTGGCAGCGTTACCTTAAAAGGAGAAAGCCCTCGGAAGACACAGCAGGGCATCGCCGGTGCGCGTCTCCTCCAGACTAAGCCCCCCCGGCTGGGCTCCCCCAAAGGGCTCCCGTGCTGCCAGTGCGCTCCGTGGGGGAGCCGGGCGGCAGGAGGGGGCGCCTTGCAGGTCCCAGCCCTAACCCTGGAGCAGCGCTCTTCCAGAATGAAATGAGGGCGCGGGCCTCCCTCGGCCTCCCGGGGGAAACCGCTTCAGCTTCCCCGAAAAGGAAGGCGAAGGGGGGAGGTCTCCGAGCGCAGCAAAGAGACCCGTGCGAGACCTCAGGCAGGAAGCGGCAGTGCTCCTTCGGGGGCACGGGGGCTGCTGTGCGTGCAAACTTGCGCCCACACAAACAGCCCCTGCCGGTCACAGGAATGCCTTCTGCAGCCCGCCCGGGGAGCTCACGGCGGCCGTGTGCACAGAGGGATCCCGGCCGCCTTTCCCTTGACCCGTGTTCTTCCCCGGCTCCAGTATTTGCACATTTGCCTTGTTTATTCGGGTGGTTAACCTGCAGCGAGGGGAGCCAGCCCAGGTGTGAGGGCACACGGGGGCCTTCTTGCCTGTGGCACCCACGGGAGCCACTTTCCTGACACCACAGGAAGGGTGTGGGCAGCCTGGGCCCGCATCCCACTGCAGCCCTGCTGACGGGGCACATGGACCAGCAGTCCGACATTCTGATGCCCACCAAGACACGTCTGTTTGCCGTAGCGGCAACACCAAGTGCTTCAGAGACCACCTCGTGCTGAACCTCTGCCTAAAGCCCCTTTGGGCGGCGGGCACAGCATTTCCCGCACTCAGAAGGGGGAAGATGCCTCACAAAGGTGGGAAGTCACCCAGGGAAGGGGGGGCACAGGAGCCCAGAGTGGCCGGACTTCCCAGTAAGGTCCACCTGGCAGCAACGCAGGACTCCTTCTGGCGCCCACTCAAGCCCTTTTCCCTCCCCGGTCGTGCTCATTGTCGAATGGATGGCTTGATTTCTTACTGTTTTCAATTCAGGTCATGACTGAGCGGTTGAAGTGGGCCAGCGTTCTGTGTCCCATATTATTATTTCATCTCCCTTGTTCATTCTGGTTATTATCTTTGAAATTGTTATGATTACAGGGGGTGTTATTGCTATTACTGTGCTTTATGCTATAAACTGTTCTGAGAGCATTTGCTCGAGAACGGTCTAAAAAACTTTAAATAACTGAGAAAATAGTTCTGAATAAAGCACCACTATAAATAGGAACGGAAGAGGCTGCCCTATGCTACTCTTCCTCTTGGCTCGTGACGGGCAATAGAAGCCCCGGCATCCTCAAGATGCTTTGGACTACAGTTCCCATGAGCCCTCCTTGGCTGTGCTGGCTACGGCTGATGGGACCTGTAGGCCAAACCATCTGGAAGGCCACAAGGGGCCCATGGCTGACCAACACATCGCAGTGGCTCTCCAGGGCCCAGGCAGGCGTTCTTCCAGCCCCGCCAGGAGACGCGGCCGGGGACTGACCCCCTGGCCTCCTGCAGGCAGAGCGGGGGCGCTTCCCACCCACGGCCCACCGGCCACCTGCGGCCCCTTCAGCTGGAGATGCCCGGCCCCCTGCGCTGCCCCGGAGCGCCGCCACTCTCCGCTTCCTGGCCGTGGGCACGGCCCTTCAGGCAGCCCACGGCGCCCGGCCTTACCTTGCAGCATGCTCCTGTACGCCGTGTCCGCGATGGCGTAGATGTGCGGCGGCATCTCGTGGCGTTTCTTGCCTTTGTACATGTCGATGATTTTCTCCGAGTAGATGGGCAGTTGCTTGTAAGGGTTGACAACCACGCAAAAGAGACCTGAGTAGGTCTGTAAGGAAAACCCAAGAATATGGCGTGTTACACAGCAGATTCCTGAAAAGCAAGGCCTTCGCTGGCTTCACCTGGCACATAATGCCAACCGTGGCTTGTTGCCGTGCCCAGGGGTTGCTGGCTGATGATCAAATAAGCCGTGGTTTGTTGGTTGGCTGGCTGGTTGGTTTGTTGAATCCCTGGATTGACTATTTCCTTCCCCCTTCACCTGGACCTTCCCTGTGTCCCTACGGATCCTGGGCTTCTGCGGCAGGTGGAGGGGGAGGCTGCTGTTCTTGCACATCTTCTCCTTAGCTTGGAGAAACAACCTGTGAACAACCCATGAACACCCCACAGGTCTAGGTTCGCATCTAAAACTCAGCTGTGGTTCAGACAACCCAGAATTCACAACCACACAACAAACCATAAGTTCTGTTTCTGCACCGTTGTGGTTAACCAACCCTGGTTTGCTAGCATGGCTGGGTCCACACAGAACAATGCTAAAGGTCTTGGCTTGCGTAAACCACGGTTAGGGTTCTGTGTGAACTTGTGTATTCCTCTCCTCCTGAGCCTGCAGCTCCGTGAAGAATGAAAAGCAACAAATATCTCGACACTGAAACTTCGGGGTGGCTGAACAGGGCAGTGGCGGACGTGTCCAGGGCTATACGCAGGCCATGACTGGGCTACGCGATTCACAGGGAGAGCCCATGTGAAGTAACCGTTAGGAAGGGGGGGACGCGACTCCAGAGCCCACTCGGCCCTGAAACGCACTGGGAGGCTTTGGGCCGGACACAGACCCGCCGCCCAACCGTCCCCACGAGGCTGCTGTCACAGGGGTTGAGCGGGAGGGCCTCCAAAGCCACGCCGGGTGCTTGCAAGAGGAAGAAAAGGAGAGGAAGAAAGGAATGTGGTAGCAAGAGTGATAATGGCGATGATGCACCCAGCCCAGAAGCAACTCCTTTACACGGAAGAAAATAAGAGGAGCGGCACCAGGCGAGAACAAAAGGTCCCCCGTTCCAGAGAAGGAGAGCCAGCAGCCCCCCGGAGGGGGAGGCCTGGCTGGGACCTCAGCCGTGTGTCCTCGGAGCACAGCAGCCTGCAGAGCCCACGCTTCCTGCTCCTCCTCACTTCTCCCGGCGCCTCGAGAGCTCTGTGCCAGGAACACGGGCTCAGATCCCCGCTGGGGGTGTTCGGCAGACCCGCCATTCCCGGGCTTCCCCCTCGGTTTGCTAATCTTTGATTAAAGCTCCCAAGTATGTGCTTGCACAAACGCATCTCAGCTGACCTTTCAAATCAGCCTCGTCCTCGAGCGCAGATCTGAAGGCCCCGGCTTGCCTTTCCTGACCATATTAGGAGCCAGCCCAAAGTTTTCACACAAACGAAACACTTTATAAGGCATTAAGCGAAGGCAGAAATATCCGCTGGCAGCACCATGGCCCAGGACGGCCCGGCCGCGATGCCCTGCGCTCACTGCAGGCCTGCAGCCCTCCTTTCCAGGCCTCCTGCATTGGCCCAGGGGCGCTGGGAGAGCCCCCCCCCCCCGCCCCGTCGCCAGCCGCCTCTCCGGGACCCAGGGGCCTGAGCGCAGAGGCGAGCGCAGGAGCGACCCAGCCTGGACGGGACCGAGAGCAGCAGCAGCCCTGCCCTGCGGATGCCCCAAGGCACCTTCCGGGCAGCAGTGAGCCCGAGACCCCGGGCCGAGCCCAGCTCCGGTCCCGTGCACACGCAGCGCCAAAGCAGGAGACCGGGCCGCTGCGAGGGGAGGGCACCGTGCTGTCGATGCTCCGGCAGGGGCAGGTGGACAGGGCAGGAGAAACACGTCTCCGCATTCAGGTGAGGACGCCGTTCCCACCTGGGTCAGAGGCCACGACCTTTCCAAGGCACAAGCAAGCCCCCTCCCCGCTTTGCCGATTTTCTGCAACAGGCCGGGCTGGGGCAGACGGACCAGCACAGTGAAATGAGCAGCTGCATCGCTTTCCAGCAGGAAAACCCAGAGCAGGGCCCTGAGCGCACACAAGAAACGCACCGAGACGTGAGAGCAGGAAAGCCGGACAAAGAAGCTGCCAGCTGCATATCCGTGGCGCCCAGCCACGTTTGCCACAGGGTAAAAAGACTCCTGTGGCATGCTAAAGATTGCAGGATTTATCACCCTTTAAACTTGCATAGGTTTTTCTGACCTCCAGATCTCCATTTTTGCTTTAGCACGTGCTTGCCCATCGAAGGGGGCCTCACGCACGCAGGGAACCCGTCTCTGAGCCCCAAGGGCTCCCCACTGCACTCGGCAAGCGATCCCACGCAAAAGGGGGATTCCGGGCGAGCGGCTGGAAGGCAGCTTCAGGGGAGGGCACCGGGGCACAGGAGGTATCTGGGGGCCCTCCCCTCCCCTCCCCGTGGCAGTACAGACGGAGAGGGAGCCGCTCAAGGCTCCCCTGACTTAACTGCATCATGGGCTGCCGCAGCCCTTGTGCAGCCCTCCGGCCTGCCCCACGGAAGTGACGTGCACTCCAGCGGGCACCGAAGGGCTGCAACCTCCATCCCCGGCACACGGTCCCCACCCCAAGCATCTGTCCAGGGCACACAGATGCGCCACGTTCAAAAGGCCGTGTGGAAAAGGGACGCTGCCCATGCCGGAGATGCAGCACGGCCCTGGGCATCTTTCCACTGGAGGCAGAAAAGCGTGTGGTGCCACACGCCTCCCTCCCCAGGGAAAACACAACAGAGACAAAAGGAAGCGTCAACCCTTCCCCGAGGCCCTGAATCAGGTGTCTGGCCCGGCTGGGCGGGAGAGAGGACGGCAGCACACCCTTCCCACGTCCCGCGGGACGTACATTCGCCTGCCAAGTGATTTGCAATCAGGGCAGGACCGTGTCACGTTGGAGAATGGGTGGACCAGGTGCCGGCACCGCCAGCCCCTCTGGATGGGGGCACCCAGGTGGACAGCTCCCCCCACCCCGAGGGAAGAGGGGATCCAGCTGGGGACTTACGTAGATGAGGCCTGAGTAGTACCGCTCCCTCAGGTTGTGCAGGACAGACGCTTCGTTGAGGCAGGTCAGCTCAGCCATGTCCTCCACCTTGGAGAACTTGGGGGGGTTCATCTTCTGGATGTCGTCCTTGCTGAAGGTCGCCTTCTTCCCGTTCTCGGCCAGCTCCACCAGCACCTCCTCCCCCTTCTCCTCCTTGACGCTCGCTGCCTCGAAGCCATGCTTCTCCGACGGGACCCAGACCAGCTTCTTGGCCGACCAGTCGGCCTGGGCCACGGTGAGGTTGATGAGGTTCTTGTCCACGAAAAGGAACTTCTCGTCTTCACTGAGCTGGCTTTTCTGTGCCATCTTGGCTCAACGGGCACCTGGGCCGGGAGGAAGAATTGCGGGAAAGAGCTCTTCAGAAAGCAAGTGAGGCCCTTCCGCCAGCGGGACCCTCCCCAACCTGTGACCCCCCTCTCCGATGCGTTCGACCACATCTCCCAGCAGCCCCAGCCACTGTGGCCCATCTTGTGGCTTGTTGGGATCTGACGTGCGTGGAGCATCTGGAAGGCCCTCCCCAGGGAGGTCATGCCCAGAGGCCACGGGGCGGGGGGGAGAGGTGCGCCCTGACGGAGCACCTGCTCAGCGCCCTGCAGGGACACGGTGTGCCCGTTCTCCCCTGGGTTACTCTTCGGTGGAGGGCCTGCCCACACAGCTGGGGGCCCAAGGCTAGGGAGGGTCCCTCCCGCGAGGCCCCGGAGCCTGGGGAGCTTCACTCCGGCTCCCAGCCATCCCCCCTGCCGCCGGTCCCCAGAGGCCGGGGAAGGCCGTCCGGCCCTACTGGCCCCGAGCAGCAGAGCGCTCAGGAGCCGCTTCCCCATGTGCTGGGCGCTCGCGCCATTCCACCGGGATCTCTCCGACTTTAACGCCGTCCATTTTACTTAGCCGTTTCCCCCTCCTCCTAATTCACGTTTCTTCGCTGCAGGACAGAAATACCGCAGAATAGACATAAGCACCTCCATCACGAAGACGGACCGCCGAGGCCAGAGGGCCGCTTGGCCGCCGCCACGCACTCCTGGGGTGCGAAATCTGAACCCAGCCTGGCCCCCCCACCCTCACCCTAACACCAGCTCAAGATGGCGGCACGCTCTTTCCACACAAGCAAAATATGGGGCAAATATGGGGCAAAAAAAGCCAGTGCTTTTTTTGTCACAGAACGCACCGGAACGGAGTTCTGGCACCTTTTTTCGACAGATTTTCCAAGTTTTAAAAGTAACTTTTGAAAATGTGATGTTTGGCCCGCGTGGATTTGAATCGCCCTGTCGAGCGTGGCAGGTCGGCGGCAAAATCATTAAAACGGGGCATGCGGGCGGCTTGTGCGTTGAGTCCGATGCGTGCGTGCTTCGTCCACGCTGGTTGTGATGGGTCGTGTGGTTGCGCGCTGAGTGCTTGCTGCGGCGGCGACTGTTATGCTTTGCTACGCAACTGACGTGTGTGGGTGTGTGTACAGTGATTGACTACATGCGAAAGGTAAATGATTTCATGAGTTCCAGCACCTTTTTTCTTAGAAAAAAACACTGGGAACAGCTCTCGGCTCCCCTCAGAAATGGGCTCTACTGACTGCACTTGGCATCCCCGCTCGCCTTGACTGAATGTCTGGATCCGCAGGCGCCCGCAGCTCGTCCCCGTTCACCTGACCTCCCCCAGGCCTGCGAAGCCGAGCCAAGAGCCAAGCACCCGGCCAGTGAGGAGTCGCTGCCGTTTGCGGAGCTCCCGGGACGCCTGGTTCGGTTTGCACAGAGCCACGTAGGCTACCATATATGGCCATGTTTTCCTCATTACTTGACGATCCGGCCAAAAAAGAAACAGCAAGGCTAATGATAACAAGCGCAAAACAAATACCTTTTAGGGAGTAACAAACCCTCGCAAAGGCAACCATCGCAGGACATAGAGTGTTCATGTGCAGGCTGCCGTGGGGACAGCAAAGCAAGCTGGTGCTTCTAATTAGACGAGAGCATTTCGGAGGCCCTTGCTTAGCAGCCTGCGCCGAGAAACAGGGCGAGCTTCTGGAGAGGCGCGCCTGAGAGAAAGGCCTGCCAAATGGTTGTTTTTAAATTGGGTGCACGGAAAGCAATACCCAGCGGAGGCATCAGCCTGGAGGCCTTGCACAATCCAAGCCCTTCTAAAGGCAGTGCTGCCCTCGGGGGGACGTCGTCTTTGTGCCACCCTGAGCAAAGACAATCATGGGGAAAGGCAGGCGACGTCTTTCAGTGCTGCTTCAGACATCCTATTTCCAGGGAGCTGTCTAAGACGGCCTTCGCCAGCCCCGTGCCCTCCGGATGGACTGCAATGCCCCGTATTCTGCAGCTTATCATGGGGCATGTAGTCCAACATCTCTCGGGACAACCGGTTGGGGAGGGTGGACCTAAAATGTGAGGCATGGGGGGGGGGCAGCAAATGCACGTGGGGCACAGGGGTTCCCGTGGCAAAGGAAAGCGGCTCCATGGCATTTTCGGAGCCACTGCAAGCACAGAGCGGGGCAGCCCTTGCTCCTGGGACAACAGCCAGCCGTGCAAGCTCCGTGCACGGAGGTCCCGGAGATGGTGCTTGCTTTACTGCCATCTACCGGCTTCTTCTGCTCTCCGCAACCCCTGCTGTCGCTCGCCCTCCTCGAGAAAAACGAAAACCAGCAGCCGAAGATTCCCGGACGATGGCCCAGGGCACTCTCGCCGCAGCCCCTTCCGCTCAGCCCTGACCTCTGGCTGGGGTGTTTGGCTTTATTCTGCTTGTTATTGTTAGCCATCCTGAGGCGCTGCTAGTGGCAGACAGGGTAGAAAAGCTTTTAATCAATAATCAATAAACAGAGTTCTTCTGTCGCAGAGATTCTGTGGGCTACCGTGAGACAACAGGGAGCAGAGAGAGAACGCTAGTCAGCAGCAGTCCTATGTCCACCATGACCCCACATCCATTAAGCAAACACCGGAAGTCAGGAGTCGAGCTTGGGTAACAAAAATTAGTCATTGGCGAGCCATCTGCTCCCACCAGAAGAACGCAAGAAAACTTGCAAGATGGGGCATACACAGCCGCGAAAACGCCTCTCGCGCGCTCTTGTGGCACATGCATTCGTTTTTAAAGGACCGGACAGAAAAGCTGCATCTTGGCACTTCTTTCAACATGCACAGCTAACTGCAAAGGGGGCGCATTCTCAGCCTGTTCCCACCTAGGTCACACACACCTGGCACACCTGGCCTCGGTCCCTGCGTGGGCAGGGGGCCTCATGCCCTCCTGGGCCACAAGTCTACTTCCCCTGTTCATGCAACCTGGCTTTTTCAGCTGCCGGTGCACATGCTGCAGCACGGAAATTCGGCTCCCCACGGAACGGAACGCTCCAAGCCAGGCGGGATGGGGATCGGCCTGTGCCGCCGCCTCAAGGGGAAATGTCTGCCTAATTGCTTTTTCAAAGCGCAGCAATTAATTTAGACCGGCGGAGAGTGGCTCTTAAGTCCCAGCCGTGCGGCTTAGCAGATGAATCCCTTCACTGTCGGTACTTACAGAGGTCCGAGTGAGAAGCAGGAAATGGGTCGGAGAGTCCGAAGCCGGTTCTGCTGGCAATGGGGGCAGACCGAGTCTGATCCGCCCGGGCGGCCTCCCTATATAGAGGTGAGCAGGCTGCGTGGGGAGGGGCCCGAGGGACCACCCCCTTCTGGGGGCTAGAAAAGACAGACACGGGAGAGGAAGACTTCCCATTTATTTGAGGGTGTGGATTAACACCCTCTCCACAAGCGGGCGAAAGGGCATCCCCCCGCAGCCCCCTTGATTTATGCCACCGCTTTATGGGATGGCTCAGCTGCTACCAGCCTCCCTTTTCTCCCAACCCCCTGCTCTCTTTTTGAGTGCTCGTTTCCCAGAAATGGTTTTTTTCTGGTCAAAAGCAGCAATACAGCCCCTCTTAACCCCTTCCGGCTTTCTCATGCATCTCGGACGCCAGCAAAGCAGTGGGACGAGCCAGTGAGAGGAGACGGGCGAGAGCGGAGCTTCCCCACCCGACTTCTCCCTAGCAATAAAAGCGGGCTTATCTCGCCGCAGCCTTTTGATGTGGGATTCGGAACGCAAGATTAAATACGTTATGTTCCACTGGAAGGGCCCATTCCGTGGAGGAGCGAGCGGATGAGTCGGTGGGAGAGGCAGGCAGCTATTCCCAAGCCAAGGCCTGGAAGGAGAGACCCCGGAGCATCCCCGTGTGTTTACATAACATTTGGAAACCCTGGCCCCTCTGAGCCCGGCTCGTCCCCGGGGAGCAAAGGGGTCACTTTTTCCCAGCTCTTGCCCTGAGCAGCTTTGCAGAAGTGGCTGCCACTGCAGTCCCGGCTCCTGAGAAAGTCCTGCAAATAATTTATATATATAAATACCTCCCTCTGTCCTTAAATGGGAAAGGAGAGCTGTTAAAGGGCTTGTGGCACTGGAGGGGGGGGCATGGGAGGGCGGACCGGGCCCTGCCGACACCGAGGAAGACGAGGAGGCAGCAGCGCTGGCAAGCCAAAGGCGAGGTGCCTGCAGCCAGCTGGGGGGTCTGCTCCTCATCAAGTTCCCTAAAACTTCCCCACCCACCGCCCGCCGGCCCCCCCCCGCATCCCACCATCCAGGCGCTCAGCGCATCTCCTTTGCCGCAGCCCGCACTCCTCAGACATCCCAAAAAGGGAACACCAGGATGCTCCAGGAATTCCCATCGACATACCGGACGCAAACACCCCTGTGCCACACACCTCCCCGTCCCAAAGCGCAGCGGCCTAAATATGGAGCCCGTGTCAGAGCGGAGACGAGACGAGACGAGCGACTGGCACACCGGCCTCAGGAGGCAGAGCAGGGCGGAGATGGCTCCCCCGCCCCCGCTTGAGTGCCCCCGGGGCAGAGGTGGCCGTTCCCTCCTGCGTGCCCCCGTCAGCGGGAGCCGCTCTCCGGTGTGGCGGCACGTTCCGAAGGGCAGGCGAGTCCCCCACCCGAGGCGAGGCCGCGGGCCGCTCTGCACAAGCCAGCTGCAGCCGCTCGGCGTGGCCACCAGGAGCCGGGCTCTCGCCTGCCCCGTGGGTCAGGAGAAAGGCCGGCCCGGCCCGGCCCGTGGAAGCGGTGTCTCCGCAGAGGTGCCGTGGGGCCCCGCCATCTCCTCTTGCCTGCACCCGCCCTTTCTTCGGCCGCATCACCCATGCGCCACTGCAAACAGGGTCTCCGCACCGACAAAGAGCCCTGTTGGAGCAGCAGAGGGCGGGCGGGCGGGCGGGCAGGACACCCTCCCACGCAGACCTCCCCGCAGTCACCAGCCCACTCAGCGGGGCTTCAGCAAGCCCCCTGACCTCTCCGCCTCGGTTTTCCCACCTGCATTATGGAAACAATGGTGCTGCCCTGCCTCAGGGGGCCGTTGGAAGGACTGCTGCGGCGGCAGCGCATGCCGGTATTAATGGCAGCAGTTCAGCAGCTAGTGCCGAGGCGGAAAGTTGACCGCCTCCAGGCAGCTGCAACTCCCACACTGGTGAGAGGGGTCCCGGAAGAGCCAGGCGGGCCGGTGGGGTCCAGGGCTTGAGACTCGAGGTGGAACACGGGCGCACGGCGAAGGAGGGGGAGGCCTGCTCCCCCACAAGAGGCTGCCAGTCAGTGCTAACCAGGGTGCCCTGCAAGTCCAGTCCAAGCTGCACAGGGTGAGGTGTGAGAGAAATGTCTGCCTGGGACCCCCCACCCCCTTCAGCAGGAGCAGGCATGAGCCAGAGGCGTGACCGCTGGACCTGGGAGATGTGGGTTCGAGGCCCCGGCCGGCCATGGAGCTCCCTGGGTGACTGGGCCACCCATTCTCAGCCTCACCTACCTAGCAGGGCTGTTGTTAAGATAAAATGGAGCTTTGTAAGCTGACTTGGGCTTTTCACAACAGGAAAAAGGTGGGAGATAAATCGAGATAGAGACCAGGCGGGCCTGTCATCGACCGGCTTAGTCCATATTCACGCAACTGCTTCATGTTGCACAGAAGCCAGAGCAGCAAAGACAAGGGAGCGACTCCCCCAACTTCCCCCCTGCCCCAGGTGCTGTCAGGCTGCGATGCCCGTCACCCTCAGCCCTCTGTGATGTGCTAGGAAGGGTCGCTCAGCATCACTGGGGCTCCAAGGCCGAAGCAGAAGGACCCCTTGCTGCCACCCGTTCCTTGAGGGAGGCTATGAAGACCCGAAGGGGGAGAAGAAACTAACATCCTAAAATAAGCACGGACGATCACGCCACGGTGTTCCCTGAAGCGGCCGCAGAAATGCCCACACCTTTCGATAGCAGCGACTTAAAAAGGAGTGGAAATTCTTTCTCTGGCCTTCGGTTCACATATGTTGGGAGGGCTGCTGGAGGACGAGTGAGCTTCCCAGCGCGGATGATTTATAGGGCGATACAGAAGCGAGCTGGAAAGTCTTTGCACGATTAATGCCAGGCATGGCATGCGGCCATCTTTTTTCGCTCCTCAAGCTGCGTCTGAACCGCTCGATGTCCTTGGATCCCCAAGTTGCTCAAAGAAGCACAAGCAACACCCGCCGAGCAGAGCAGAACACAACACGGAAACAATCTGGAACAGAATAAAACAACAAATACCTTTAAAGCATTAGAACAAAAGCAGTAAAGCGAAGCAGAGCCCCAGTCGAGCATAAATCAGAGACAGCTTCAGCAGACAGACACATTTCCAGGAGACGTGTGGATCGCTTGAGCCGCATGCCAGGAATATTCCAGAGGGAGAAAGCCACCTGCAGGAAAACCAGGAGGCGGGTTAGCACCTGACCACATGCTGCTGCTTTTGGAACCCCCTGCAAGGGGTCAATTCGGGGTGCCCAGGGGAGCGGGTGAGGCAGCTGGAGCCCTCCTGCGGCCGGTCGGTGGCTGGATGGGAACCTCCCGCTAGCCCCATACAGTCCGAATGCGAGCAAGAGAGGAGTTTAGCGCACTAAAATAAAACCAAGCCACAAGCCAGAAACGGTCCGGGCTCACATACCTGCGCGCGAACCGAACTGCTGCCGCTGAGCTCACCAGGCCTGGAATCGCTTCGGCTGGTGCGCTTGGGGAGTGTGAGAGCTGCGCCACGGTGGCAGTGAGCGATCGGCGGAGTAGCGACCGCCAAGGCCAAGCGATTCCGCCCTCTGCGTGACGCCAGCCGGGAGAGAAGAGCAGGACGTCCTGTTCACGGCTCAGCCTTGGCTTGCCGAGGGTCTGAAAACGAAGTTTCAGACGTGGGACTAGGAAGGCAAGATGCCTGCTCACGCTGTGCCACCCCCTCCATTCACCCTGCCTGGTACCAGTGACTAAGTTGGCACGAAGCTTTCCAGGACTTCAGGCTGGAGTTCTTCTGGGCCTACCTGGAGACGCTTGGCAGTTACAGCCCTTTATGTTGAGCGTCGGACAGGTCCCCCCACGCCCAGGTAGAACCCCGGGAATGTGCAGAGCACCCTGCCCCCCCCCACCTCGGCCACACAATCAGCGCCCCCAGATCTGACATTGTGCAGGGCACAATGGTGGAACGGGCACCCCAGCAAGGTTCACCCTCGGAACTCATGTTTAATCGTGCAGAGTATCTTCTTTGGAATTAGTCCCTGGACGATCCTTCCCGAGGAGAGCGCACCACACGCCCTGCCATCCCGAGAGCAGCACTGAGCAGCGCACTGGGCTGAGCGCCAGCCTGGCCCGGCTGCCCAAACCCCACCTTGCCAAGGAGCCAGGCGGGCCTCCACAGGAAGCATCCCCTGCCCAGGGCCTTGGCACAGATCTTTAAAAATGTCAGGTGCTGCCATGGTGGCTTCTTGTACTTGTGCGAGATTGAAGCACTGACCACCAGGTAAGATGGTTGAAAAGTGAGCAATTGCTACATGCTGGAATGAAAACTTCCTACGTAACATGTATAGTTCCCCACGAGTCAAATGAAATGATACTCCTGGGTTCATTTCGGGAGGGATTGTGTGATGTCAAAAAAGGGAAGAGGTACAGCAGTGCTGGGACATGGAAGGATCACACCCTTCCAAGGCAGGTTCAGTTGCTCTTGGTCTATTCCCTGGTGCAAGGGGCTCCCCTGACCTCACGCCGTTGGCTTCCTTCCAAGACGCACCAAAGACATTCTGCAAGCGGTCAGGATGTTCAGGAGCATCCACAACACTGCAGTGGCGGCTGATGGGAGTCACAGGCCGAAACCTCCAAGGGCCACAGACAGCACTGTCTTGGCAACGTGCCCGTCGGCTAGCCCAACAGTGACATAATGTACTTTAGCCATGGCTTCACACAGTCCCGTGTTCCACACTGGAAGATACTTCTGGCATCAACAGTCATTTTCTTTGCAATTCAGCTGCTGCCCCTTCCTGTGAAAATTCCCTATTGTTGTGGGAGAATCCCTGTCTGTGATCAAATAAACGGCTAGCCTTGGAAATCAACATTTAAAATAAAATTTTAATTGTTGGCATATATACAAGAGCAAAAATAGAACTCAACCAGCGTATCAAATGGCAGAGGCCCTGCCTGCTGTGTGACTGATCGCCATCATCTTGTGCACTAACACAGGCATAATTTCACCAAAAAAAATATGCTATGAATCCATGGCCAGTTGACCATCTGGGCTAGAATTGCAAGGCCAACCTCAGCACAAAGTCCGGAAACGGCTCCTACACAAGCCATCAGTCTTACTGGAACAGAACAGAATTGTTCTCACAGTAACAGACACAAACAGTCACTCCCCAGGAAAAGCTCTCGATAGTTTATTTCATCTGTGTGGGCCCCGTGAAGCAAACGCATCTTCAAGTCTTGTGTCTCCCCCCCAGTCCTGGTTCCGCACCAGTGCCTGCAAATTAAAATAGCGATGGTATGAACATTTGAGCATTGCCTGCAACGCCGCAAACACAAGACGGCCAATGCCAACGCTGAGTGGGTTGCTCAAAACAATCGCATTTTCCATTAAACCGAACCTAGAGAAAGCACCCAGTGTCATGGCAGTGGTTTATCTGTGAGGTTTCTCCACACAGAGACAAAAAAAGTCTACCCAGAATTCCCACTTTTCTTGAAAGAGGCTCTTAAGCAGCTCTGAGTTATTTAAAAGTTGGTCTAAGACAACGGCCCTCTCACCCGACTACGCTCCTGCTTCCCCTGCTCCTGCAGCCCAGTAGGACAAAGGCTAGTCGTGTGACCCCAGTCCAGCCTTCCTATGCATTTGCTTCGGTGACGTCCCACTGAATTCAATAGCAGCCACTTCTGCATTAACAGGCACACTGCTCCAGGCTTCCAAAAGGGAGGAATGTTTAACAGCTTCCGTTTTCTTCCACCATCCAGTTATTTGGATATTTAATATTCCACTGTCAAAAGAGTTTTGCAGAGCTGTTCCCAATATTACAGTTTCTAGGCTCATGCATTAGCATAATTACTTTAATTTTAATTTTATTTTTATCACCAAGGACAGCAGAGCAAACAGAGCCTCTAAACAATCCAAGTTAAGGCCAGAGATCCAGTAGGGTTGGGAGAGCCAGAACGGTTTCACGCGATGCGAAGACGACGACACGCCGGCCCAAGTAAAGCTCTCTGGGAAGGGGCTGCCAGCTGGGGCTTGCCACAAAAGCTCTTTCCAGCCTCCATCTTCCTCCCTTTTGACAGTGACAGAAGCTGGCAAAGGGTGTGCGAGGTGGGCGGCCACGGCTCCAGGGCACAACACCCGCTCGGCACCCCTGGAAGAACTCCAAGCGTGGCGGGGAAAACCCGTGCCCCGAGCCCTGGAGGGAGCGCCGCGGCTGCCGGTCAGTGGCACCAGTCCTGGGTTACACTGTCATGGGTCTGGCTCAGGCAAGGCAGCTTGCGGTGCTGGATTGAGTAACGTGCCCCAGGCCCTCAGGCATGGACCAGCTCAAGGACCAAAACGCAGCCCCCAAGGCCCCGGATCCTTTTACGTCTCGACATGAAAAGGTCCTCACGGTTCTAAAACTGTTTTGTGCACCAGAAGAGTACCTCCTCCTTCCCTTCAATGGGAAGTCTGTTTACAAGAGTTGCTCTGCATTTGAAAACTACACGGACCGTACCTGTTTGGCTCCTTTGCTGAGATGACTTGCTGAGGTTCCGCCTTGAAAACGGCAACGGTGATGGCCGGGGGAGTGCCTGGGAGACCTTTTCCTCGTGACCATGCAGCAGCTGGGCTACAATGCCGTACAGAAGTGGCCTGTTAAAGACAGAGCACACTGGAGTGGGGGAGAAGGGAGCCTGAGGGAGCACGGGGCCCCGTCAGGCCTCCTCCACAGCTCGCTCCTTTCCGTGGGACTTGCACGCAGGAATTCCCTTCTGGATTGTGCTGACAGACTTCAAACTGGAAAAATTTGTGAGACCTGAACCTAGGGCTGGTCTCCATTCCTCCAGCCCATTGTAAAGGAGCTAAAGCACCTCTCTTTAATTTAGCCTTTCAAACTGTTTGCAGTGGCTGTTGCTTTGGTATTTTAAGAGAGCTTATTGTGTTTGTTTTTATGCATTTTTATTGGAATTTCTTGGTGCTGCCTTTGTAACATTTGCAAGAAAGGCACACAGATTTTATCAACAACTGTATTGGTTCAGAAGTAAGATTCTTCAAGTCAAATGTGATTTACTTCCAAGAAAGTACTCAGAAAGCACACTTCATTAATTTGCCGTACTTTTATATTACCTCACTGCAAGAATCAAAGACAAAGTACAACTAAAGCATAGGCAGCAACATAAAAGCTAAACACCACTAAAGTCTGAGTTTAAAAGATGCCTCTTTCTTAACTCCATTTCATAAAGCCAAGGGAGCAGGGTCAAATCTTAACAGTATAGCAAGAGTCATCCATTTTATGGAGCAACTTGACAAAAAAGTACTTCTATGCATACCCAGTGAAGGGGCCTGTCCTGAAGATCTCAGTAATCAGAGATTCATAAAAAGGCTATCCTATCTGTTTCCTAGACACTGCTGAAATATAAAACCAAACTAGAATACTAAAGTGAACAAAATTAAAAATGACTGGCAGCTAGTAACAGAAACACCAGCCTCCAGATGGAGATAACTTTGCTTTAAAAGCTTCATGAAGAGCAGCACAAACATTGTTTGCACTTTCCTGCACATAAATGATTTGAAGGTTTCCATTACATCAGGGTCAAAGCCTAAGCATGCATTGAAAATCCAGAAGGAATCTATCATCTTACACTGATCTGCTGCTAGAATCTTCAACTATATTCAGCTCATTTACAAGAAATTCCCGGTCAAGGGGAACTTCAGGCTGGCCAGATTCTGAAAAGAAAAACACAAACATGTCAGCTTTCCAGTTCGCTTCTTTCCCCTGAAGTATGTTAAACAAACCTTCTCACTCTGGTAACTCCCTTTGTTCCTGGCTTGCAAATGACCATCAACAGGTGATACAACTGCCTCCAGGAGCCTCACATGGCGCCTTTTGGGGGATTTATTTCTACCAGATCTTTAAATAGCCATTGCCTAATAGATGCCTGTTTTTTTATCGTGTAAGTAATGTCAATAGAGAAATATTTACCAGCTGTGAGAACAGAAGCAGCGTACTTGTATTTGTTGAACTCCAAGTATTCCCGAATCAGTTCATTGATGAGAAGATTCTCGTGGGACAGTGACGGCCGGGGTTCACTTCGGTCATCCAATGCATGGAAGACTTCCGCTCGGATCCTCGCTCTTACCTGTCCTAGCGTTCCCCTCTTCTCCAGAGTATCTTTTAAAACTAGGAGCACAAAACCAGGCAACAGTTTCATTACTAGAAATCCCAGGACGACAATGCAGATCTTAAAATGGCTATTGGGAAACAAAGAAACTTCTCAGGGAGTTGAAAATGAGGGACTGCTGAATTAGAACTCATAACAGGTTTAATTTTATCACCTAAGGCTTTAACTAGAATAATAGTTTTTTTCCCCCTACTCTATTTCTGTTCTTTGATTTAGGTAGAATGCTGGGTATTTGTGTTATTAGCAACGGCTGCACTGTAAATACCAATAATGTGATTGTCACTTTCAGTACTTTCTGCAGTAAACTGCATTCTGCTCTCACAGTTTATGGGTTCCTCCTCTGCAATAGACATCGTATATAAATCAGAGTATCCCACCCGTCTGATGAAGTGCGCTACTTGTTTGTTAGCTCTTTGTAAGAAAAAAGCAGGAGAGAAATCGAGCAGCGACACACGCCCCGCTCCTCTGGCCGCTCTCCACCTTCCCCCGCAACAACCCTGTGCGGCGGCTCCGCGGAGCGTCTGCGACTGGCCCGGGGCCCACCTGCGGGCCCCACGGCTGCACACGGATCAGACCCCAGACCACCCGAGCCCCGGTCACCGCTGCGCCACGCTGGCCCTCCCCAAAAGCAGCAAAACAGCACTTAAAGAAAACGAACAGCAAAAGCCGCAGCCGAGTTAGAGAGCAAAGCATATCGGTAGCTTTCCGGAGGCCACGGAGCTCACGCGGCCGCCTTCGGGCAGCCACCGACGCTCAACGCGGCCTACCTCACAGGGCCGTTGTGGGGAGAAACGGAAGGCGGCCGAGAAGCGCCTGGGCCGCCCCGGGCTCCTCCCGGGAGAAGAAGCGGCGCCCCGGGCACCTCGGGCCGAGGCCAGCCGGGCGCCTCGCCAGCCGAGCTCACCTGCTTTCAGCTCGGAGAGCGTCGCCATCTTGGCCGCGGGCGGAATCGCGAGGGGTGCCCGGATGTAAACAGCCCGCGCGCCGCTCGGCCGTCGCCCTGACAACCGCGCGCGCATGCGCGCCTTCTTCCCGCCTTACTAAGCGTCCTCTGCTTCTCATTGGCTGCCGGCTTGGCCAATCACGTGCCCCCGGCCCTCCCGCTTGCTCTGGGGGATGCGGTTCGTGCGCCCGCGGACTTGCTCGCGAGGAGGCCCCGCCGCCGCCGCTGCCGCCGCCTGCTTAACCCGGGCAGCCCCAGCAGCTGTTGCCCAGCTCCTGCCCTCCGACCCTTGCACTGCCTTGCTGGGGAGGAGAGCTCTACCGGTTGGGTTCTCGGCCTGCCCGCGGCCGTTTATTTATTGATTTGCACCCGTCGCGAGCTCGCGGCGCCCGCCGGGGCCGGTGGCATCTCTCCAGCCAGGGCCGCCGCCGTGGCCCCTGGCGCCGCAATGCCACGAGCGTGCAGTGAGCACGCAGGGCCGGTGGCGGCGCCAGCCCCGGTTCTCCAGCGCCAGATGCAGCCTGGAGGGAGGGGGGGCAGGTGGCGCTCCCTGGGAGCAGCTCCCACGAGGGGCCCCCCGCCAAGAAACCTCGGCAGGATGTGGCCCTGCTTTTCGATCCGCTAAAAACAGCAAAATGCAATGGCAGAACGCAGTAAAAGTGCATTGAAAAAGAGGGTGGCGAAAAACAAACATCGCCTGCCCTCCCCCCCCACCCCCGGAAACAACAGGCAGCCCAAGGCAGCGTGTTTGACCAGCACCGAAAAGGCCCTGCGGGTCCCCCGAAATACACGGAGAGGGCCGTGCTTCACGCCAGGCAAGCTCTCTGCCCTGTTAATAGCAGCAAGAGGGACAGCTTGCCTCTGGCATGAACCTGCCAGTTTGGACTGAATTGCTGCCAGAAGAAAGGGACTGTCTGAATTGCCATCGAAAGTGCCAGGTTGTTCCCGCCTCTCTTGCGCACTGGTTGTCTCCGTCCTGCAGCCTTAAAGCATTTCCTGCCTGGCCCTTGTCTCCTCTAGGCAGGAGGCGCTCACCAGGCAGAGACCGCACAGGAGCCCATTCGAGGGTCGGAACTGGGCTGTCGCTGCAGCATGGGTCGTAATGTTAGCCACAACCAGGCCGTAAGGAGAGCCCGTGGCTTGTTCCCCACGACGTGTCGTCTCCGGTGGGTTTCGGCAACAACCGATGGCTCAGTGGCCACCTATGGTCAGCCTCCGAGTGGGAGCTTCGTGTTCTCTGACCAGAGTGTGACCAGTCTGAGCTCTGGAGGAAATACTGGGAGAACCCGAGTCAGTCTTTCGCTTCAGAGTCTTCTAGGGAAGCATCATAAGCAGCTATTTCCTATTTCTGTTCCATGCACTAGAGGGCAATGTGGACACGCTTGGCAGGAACGCTCTGCTCAGATCTTTTTCTTGCTCTGCCGCACTCGCCTGGCTGCCTCCCTCCTGGCCTGCCTCCTCGGCCCGAAGAGAGGAACCCCAACCCGCTGAACCACACGCCCTCTTCCTTTGCCACCCTATTGCTGGCCCTACAAATGAGCAAAGCACACGTCTCGCTAAACAGAGAGAGATGTGCAGCGCATGTGGAAGGGAGCGGAGTTGCTGATTTACCACAAAAACAAATGTGGTTTCTTAGAAGCCCTCCTACAAATTGCCCCCATTAAAAGAAAGCGTAACACAAAACGTGCCAGAAATGGTTTCCCCTGTGAATTCATTGTGGCTTCTAAATTCGGTGCAAGCTGTTCTTCTGAAAGATGCAAGCTGTGATGTGTGATCTGGGTAAGTCTGTTGGGTATCTCAGCAGTCATCGCCATCTTCGCCCTAAAGTGTGCGAGGCAAAAGTGAACGCTCAAACCTCGCGGGTGAGCGGGTGGAGAAGAGGCGCTCCTCGACCGTTCCGCTCTCCCGACCCGACCACCTCAGTCTGACCACCGCGCTTACTGGCTCTGCCCTGCCCACCACTTCATCCCCACGACGGGAATGACGCCCTCTTCTTCTGTGCGCCGGGAGAGGTGCGCTGGATCAGGTCTGCAAGAAAAGGCGTTGCTTGTCCGCATGGAGCGTTGCAAGTCCTCTCTTTGAAATCAGTGGAGCTTCAGAAGATCAGAGGAGCCTGGTTGGCACAGCGAAGGCCTCGGACTCGCCCTGCATCCTGCTTCCTGCAGGGCCGACTGCCGGATGCCCAGACGGAAGGCCGCCAGCAGGGCGGGAGCAAGATCACCCTCCGGCTCAGGCCCCCTCCTGCACCTTTCTTAGAAAAGCTTAGGGCTAGGTAGTGCTTGGATCCAGAACAGGTAAGTGATCATCATCTGAAATTTGCCTCCAGAAATGCTCCTCTCCCCCATTGCTCAGATAGGAACAACTCCAATAAATATACGTGAGAGCAGCAGTCTTGTGTCCATTCGGAGGGCCAGCCCCACGCGCGCAGGACTGTCTTTTCCTTCCAGACAGTTCCCAGCCCCAGCCAGCCACTGAAAGCGCGGGACCCTTGCTGCCCAACCACGCACTGGATTGCAGCCTTATGGGGACACTGGCTGCTTCAGGGCCATGACACCGGACTGGTGTTTGAAATGCAGGCCCTGTACACTCCCCACATCTCTTTAGACCCCCATTCTCCCTCCTCGCCATTGCCAAACGTTCGGCTGCAGGCTCCGTGTGGCGAGCAGCTGTCCTTTTGAGTACCACGAGCGTGTTTATGTTGCTGCTGGGTTTTCCAACAACGGCACAATGAATCCAGCCTTGTGCACAGGTGTGACGGCCAGATCTGGAAATGCTGGCAGCGGGGGCCGGAAGGGCAGCGGGGGTCAGCCGCAGCAAGAATAGAGCAAGCATGAAACGGGAAGAGGCACAAAGAACAGAGGACACTGGAGAGCAGCCAGAAACGGTTCAAAGCCGATGGAACCGTGGGATCCACTGTCTTGCGTGTGGAGGCAGCGGTGGCCACTGACCTCAACCTGGAAGGAGGCCCAGCTGGGAGGAGGGAGCTGCAGGCAGGCCGGGAAACGCGTCTTGAGTCTTGGTGCACTGACTCCCAGGAAGGGCCTGAGCAGATCCTAAGCATGTGGACTCAGCCCCGCCCCCCCAGGTGCAGTGGGGCGGCCTCCCCGGAAAGTGGTCGGGGAGCACTGCCCAGCGCTCCGTCACTCTTGTGAGGAGGAGGAATTGGGTGGGGGATCTGCCCGGTTGTGCCCGCCTTTTCATGGGACCAGCTCTTCGGCCCCCGTGGGTGCCGAGCGGCCCTGGCAGCAGCTCGACCCCGGGGCTGAGCTGTCGGACGGCGGGCCGGTGCTGAAAGGCGGCTGCGGCACCGTCGGAACCGGGCTGCACCGGCAAGCCACGGCGCGCCACCCCTGCGCACTGCAGGAGCCGCGGCCTGTGCTGCCCGCGGGCTGTGGCCACGGCTCTCCAGCTCCCGGCCCTGTGCCGCGGCTGGGGAACACGGGCGGGAGGATCCTGCTGGGCGGCTGGAGGGGGGCTGTGCGAGTGGAGGGCGGGCCTGCGGGGGCCCCGGGTCCGGGGCGCCACTCGCAGCCCGCCGAGTGCTCGTCCGAGCCGGGCCGCGGAGGCAGGCGGTGCGCAGGCCGGCCGCGCTCCCCCGCGTGGAGAAGGCCCGTGCGGACCCCTCGACGGGCGGGCGGGCACGGTCACTCCCGCGGGCTCCCGCGTCGTGGGGACGCGCCCGGCCGCGCGCAGCCCGGCAGCACGCGTGGCCCGGCCCGGAG